TCTCCAGCACAACACTTCTCCACGTGAGGTGGATGGTTGTGGTTCAAATCTTTGCGGCTGATTACGGACGGTGGGGACAGGTGAGGAAACAGGTCTATTGTCGGTTGCGGGTGGCTTAGCTTGGTAGAAACGTGGCGGATCGGACGGGAAATAGCGGGGTGACTCGGATGCTTTAAATCGGGTAGACTCGTGAACGGAGTTTCGGATAGGCTCGGATTGTAAAGGATAACGGGGAGCGGTATTCCTTGGAGCGGAGCTAGTCGACGGTATGGCCTGTAATTCCTTCCTTAGAAGTTCGAATTCTCGGACCACTTGACTAAAAGTAATGACATCGGAGTAATCCGTCTTTCGGATTTGCTGACGATATTCGGGGAGCAGATTTCGGTATAGCCAGGTTAATTGTTGTTCCTTATCTAGCTTGCCATGTCTCCTCATCAAGGTCTGCAAGTCGATGACGTAGCTGGTTACGCTTTCATTTCGACGCTGCAACCTTCGACTTATTTCGACCTCTAAGTCGATTTGATAATTAATTGGGAAAAAGAAAGTTCGGAAAATAGTTTCAAAATCTTCCCATGTATTCCAGGAGGTACGATTACTTCTGAACCATAACGCTGGGTCTCCGGAGAGTAATTCAGGTAAACATGGGAGCAGTCGGTCTTTATCAATTCCTTTTGCAGCACATATTTCGTCTAGTCTTTCTAGGAAAGCTACTGGATCATCTCGGTTTCCAAAAGAGACCTTCCAATCGTGGACTTTTATTGGCTCAAGGGTAACGGCGGGTGGGGGTGTCATTGTCGTTTGCTCTAATTCACCAAGCGGTTTACTTGCTAAATTTGTATCTATGCGTCGCAGAAACGAAACCAAACGTTTTCGCTTTTCCTGTACAGTGCCACTGACAGCGAGTTTATTATTTTCCAATTCTTTAGTAAGCTCTGGATTCTTTAATAGATATACCCAGGATACTTGGGTAGTGGTCGTAGATTGAACCTCTGTTGGTTCTGATGTGTCTGTTTCGTGTGTTACGGCGGTCGGTACTATTAATTCCGTAGATAAGTCGTGTTCCGTGTCTGTTTTCCTGATGTCGTCGGCAGTTGTTTCGGACATAAACTCAAAGAAGAAACGAACGCGGACGGGTTTTTGTTATTACGGAAGGGGGTTTAAGCAAGAAAAATATTTACAAAAAAAAAAAAAAAGGTATCTAGGCGGCGTTGAAACGGTAGTACTTAATAGTGAACGGCTTATCAAGTTCTAATTTACTCTACTCTTACGGCTAGTCAATGTTATCTGGTTTATTACTGGCTATAAAGACGGCAAAAAAAAAAAGTTTTGATTTACAGTGGAGCGGACTAGATTACGTACTATGCGTACAGGGATTTGAAAGAGACGGGGTTAAGAAAAAAAATAAAGCAAGACATAAAAGAATCGAATACGGTGGCAGGGCGGAAATAGAAAGGGATTACCTATCGGGAAGTAACTAGGTAACCAGGTCACCAGGTCCCTGCTCGGGCGCCAAATTTGTAAGGGGTTTTCTCGCCACAGAGAAAACGGTTCCTTACGAATGACGCTGGTTACGGGCGGTTCTCGAGCGCCAGATTTTTGGTAATGGTTTACTCCACAAACTCTCGAAACGGCGTCGAAAGTACTCGGGTAGCTACAGATGGAGATGAAAAATTCCAGGGGTCAAAGGTTACTTAGACACAGGTAATAGTATGCCACAAGTAACGGGCTTTAATCGTTGCTTGGGCTGGTACAGAATTAATCACTAGCTGAAATATAAGGGGGAAATAAATTTAGGAATTATCAACCAGTAATACGGCAGGTTAACATTGACACATATATTGTGGTTAACTATTTACAATAAAAAAAATAAATTAAATATTTCAACGCCCACCCTCACGGTAATATGTACAAACCCTGAACAAAAATAAACAAACAAAACGGACGGAAATGACTTTCGAGTAGTCTCAATCAGACGTAAAGAAAAAGAAATGAAATCAATACTTATAATTATCACGGTCACAGTAAAACTTTATTATTGAATTGTTTATTCTGTTGTTGAGTTAGAAATGCAATTTGCTATTTCTTTCGGCAGTATTATTTCGGTCGTAGCAAAAATTAACTGTTAAATTTTCTAATTGGTATTTACAATCAAATATAATTGAATGCTTCAGTAAAACAAAATATAATATTGGTTGCAGAGAATGCGAGGAGACAGGTTCGGGATAATACTAATTCCAGAGCTGAAACCGGGACCCTATAAGAGGTTTACTCACTAGTGGTTGGAAAGTAAAACCAACTAACAACCGGGATAGTACATTATCCCTGAGTGAACCGATCGTAATCACGAGCCGCTTCAAACTGGGGAATGATACTATTTAATGTCAATTGAATAACGGAGTTTTACATAAAACAAATTTAATAACCGGGATAGCACACTATCTCTGAATGAGGCGATCGTAATCACGAGCCGCTTCAGACAGGGGAATGATACTATTTGAGTTCACTTACAATAACGGAGACTAACGCAAATGAGGGTTTCAGACGGAAAATAAACTAATAACCGGAATAGCACATTATCTCTGAATGAGACGATCGTAATCACGAGCCGCTTCAGACAGGGGAATGATACTATTTTAGTTCTGTTGAAATAACGGAGACCTAACGCAAATGAATTTTTAGATATAGAATGAACTAATAGCCGGGATAACACCTTATCTCTGGATGAAGCGATCGTAATCACGAGCCGCTTCAAACTGGGATTGATGCTATTTAAATTTTCTTAAAATTTGCAGTTCGGAGAATAAAACAAAAGAAAATGCCTCGTCGCAATTCTACAAATATAACCAATCAAAACATTAGGCAATTCCCAAACAGTTCCAATTAATTATTTATTGGATAATGTTTTTAATAAACTGTATTATTTGTTCACGAAAATTTCTTGCAGTAGGAAAAATTGACTATAAGACTATATTTACGATTAAATGAAAAATAAACTAATTAACGGTTAAGCCTTCAAATAAACTAAAATGAAATGTATAATTTATTCACATAAATTTCCAGTAGTAGGAAAAATTAACTATACGACTATGTTTACAATCGAATGTAAAATAAATTGTTTAACGGTCAAAACTTTAAATAAACTAAAATGAAATGTATTATTTATTAACGGAAATTTCCAGTAGTAGGAAAAATTAACTATACGACTATATCTACGATTGAATAAAAAATTAAATTGTTTAACACTCAAAACTTTAAATAAACTAAAATGAAATTTATTATTTACGGAAATTTCCAGTAGTAGGAAAAATTAACTATACGACTATATTTACAATCGAATGTAAAATAAATTGTTTAACGGTCATAACTTTAAATAAACTAAAATGAAATGTATTATTTATTAACGGAAATTTCCAGTAGTAGGAAAAATTAACTATACGACTATATCTACGATTGAAATAAAAAAAAAATAAATTGTTTAACGCTCAAAACTTTAAATAAACTAAAATGAAATTTATTAAGAACGGTGTATTCTAACAAGAATAAATTAAAGTATTTTTAAATCAAAACAAATGAAATCCTAACTCAACACGGAATAAATAAAATTAAATCGGTTTCAAATAGCACGGCTTAAAGTCTCGGGCACGAAAGAAATTATCAAAAAAAAAACTATCAACAAACTTTACCTCGCGGCGTGAAATAAATTTTCGGTATCGTAGGTATTTAGCGTTTAATCGACTATTAGATTTAACGGTGTCAAAGCAAGTCTGTTCGATAAATCGGTATTTTAGGAACTAAAAATTTCAATTCAATCTCGGACCACGTTTAGTCGTCGCATGCCCTACTACATCAGAAAATCCCACCATTAAAACGCGCGCAGGCATAGTACCTCGACGATGGTTTGAACAGCGATAAAACTGATGATATACAGGGCATACCCACGAAGTTGAAATTAATTGAAAATCGAAATTAATACCCGGAATTAATTAATAATAATAATAATGAAAATTGACTTCATTACAATATTTTGGAAAAAAACAAATATAAGAAGAATATAAATATCAGTTAATTTAAAAGCAGTTTAACACAATTTTCTTGTCAACATTAGATCTTTTATTTTTTATGCTTTGTATCTGCAAAACACAGTAACTATATGTGTCTATAAAGATACCATTAGAGAACGCGAGACCGAGGCAGATGACATACTACAGCAGCAAGGCAGCAAATATTGCCGTGATAAAAGTGATGTCGTCTCGTTCATCGGTTGCGCTCTCCAAAATATATTTCATTTAATTACATGTGTTCAGACATAAAGAGACCGTTTTCGGTCGCTTTACGCCGTCGCTTGCTGCTGTCTCCTGTCGCAGTCTCGCCTTCTTAAATGGTACGTTTAAGGTGTTGTCTATAAGTGTGGATATACAGGGATATTCTTAATTTTCGCATTAAATAAAACGCGTAAATTTGTGTACTATATTCTACTATATTCTATTTATGTAACTATTTGCGATTTATCGGGTCGATGGTGTAGCGGTCTAACGCGCTTATATTCATTTATAGGCAAGTTTATGAGTCCGAAACTGCTGGGCTTCGAATCCCAGACCAGACCATGTGGATTTTTAATTAAATTGCATGGTTCGGTTTAGGATTTGATGTGTGCCAATAGAAATTCAATTTCTATTGATATGACATGCAGATTATAAAATCGCCATACATTATCGTCTCGATGATGGTGGGTGAGGTTTTCCGGGTTTTCTTCACCTGTAAGTCAAATGGCACCATCAATCATCCTTAATTCGCCCCGGAGCGCCACGGCAAATAATAATAATAGCCGTCCCTTCCCCTACACAAGTCGTTCAGTCGACTTCAGGGGTTGAAATTCACTCGTAAGGGGGTGAATTAGGGAGAGTATTATTATTAATATAAAAAGAAATCATGTGTTCATGAATTGATGTTATTTTCCATTATTCACAATATTATACACAAAAATAGGATTTATAACTCACACGAAAGCATCAGAAATACCAGTATATACTTCTTCACCGTCTCCCTTCTTGATAGTTTGAAGTCTGGTCTTAACAACGTCACATGGGGTGCAAGTTATAGCAGCCACCGCCCCTGCCAGTAGACCTGCCCCAAACGTGCACAAAGGCTTCGCATCACCTACAAAAAATAAAAAAGAAACAAAAAAGAAAATCATATTTTTCCAAATCTTTGTCTGCAAGCCTTATAAACTTTGACAGATTATACACCAGTAATTTAACGTTCATACTATATCTGTCAAAGTTCACCATGCTTATACATTTAAATAGATGGTCTTTTTTTAGTTTAGTATTTATTTCAAGTGTTATTTTACATTTTCTAGGACATTTGATTTTCCTAATACCCTAATATTGTAGGTATATATGAAGTATAGAAGAGGGGCCAGGACGGAACCTTGTGGTAATCCCCAAGTGGTGTAAATGGATCTGACAGGGCGTTGCCTACTTTGACTGTTCTGTCAGTGAATTATGAATGCATAAATTTGGAGATATTGAGAGACCTATGTTTATAAGCCATTTGACTAATTCAGCATGCCAGACTTGGTCAAAGGCTTTTTGAGCATCGAAAAAAACAGCTGAATATATTTGAATAGTTTACTTATGTTTAGTTCGCCACAAAAGGTTCAGATTCTATCCTTGAGTAGAAGTTCAAGGAGTATGAGGAAGATAGGACGGTATGCGTCTAAGGATTTGGGCTCTTTGCCTGGTTTGGGAATTAGAATGGTCTTGACGTATTTTCAGAAAAGTAGAAAGTAGGATAGGGAGAGGTAGGCGTTCATGAATAGGGTAAGGATAGGCTACAGTTGCAGGAATATGTTTCAGAGTTCTTCTGTGCATGAAATCGGACTCAAAGTGTAGTCATTATTATCATCATCAATATTTCAAATATTACAACTACTAACTTACTGTACTCTAGTGATATATATGATAGATAAATAATCGATTACTCGAAAAATAATGGAATAATCGGTTAATCTAAAATAATCGATTAATTGGGCATAATTAACTATTTTTAAGTAATCAATTAATTAAAAATATATGTAAATATAAATAATCAATTATTTATTTTTTTAATCGCATGTCGCTAGTTATGATCTAACGTTTTTAGCAATCATTTTTAGCAACAGAATTATTTAAATAGGAAGTTTTATTTGAGTAATAAGAATTTTTTTTTAATTTATAGAAATCCGCTAAAATTTACTAAAACTTGCCAAAGAAGATAAAAATCTACTGAATGTGACAACGTTGGATCAAAGGCCCGCACTCAGAGTGATCTGAACAAGCGAAGTTAACTTTCGTTAGATGCTCAAAATAGTGCTTAAAATGGCGTAGTATTAAGCACATTGTTTCACAATTTTGTGGACCTCTCTTTTTAACTACAGGCATTCGCGGAAACGTCTCGCGTTCAATAAAAATATTATACCGACAGACGCGACCAGCTTGAGCGCAGTGGCGTACCAAAAAAGTAGAGAATAACACATACGAAAAATTGTATTTATGTGACTTTAAAATTATGTCTTTTTATTAAATGTAACCAGGTATTCACTGCATAAATGAACCAATGGAGAAACCGCCCTTGCCTATAAATTAAACTGCTTGTGTCACCTTCTCCAGATTTCGTGACACAAGTGATAACTACTTACCGTCAGATTGCTGTGGACATGATTCATTCAAATTGGCAAAAAATGGGAAATATATCATTGCAAATGGAATGTCTCGCAACATTGTTGCGGTTAGTCCTTTGAAACACCCAGCTATTCCATCCGTTTTTAATATACCCATAACAACTTGAAATGTATTAGGTCCACTTGCACCTGCAAAGGCAATATATTAAATTATTTAATAGTCTCTTTACTCCATAATAAATTACTGAAACAATATGATGTGGAGTTAGATTTGGAGTGAAAAGAGTAAAATGAGTTCACTTAAGGAACTCAGCTTAAGAAGTGAAGTTTATAAGCCTCAAAGGCTGCATTGTCATTAAATTTAAGACCTAGGGACCCTGCGACTATAAAATAAATGTTACATTTTGCTAATTTTTACCATAACAGTAAATGCACTGTAATTTCTTCATCAAGTAAAATTGGTTTCATAGTAACTTCTTGCATTGAAAACGTTTTTGTATAAAACTGAAAATGTTTACCAGCAGATAATCTTCCTTGATCTTGCATTTGGATTTTAAATAGCTCCATTGGTGTAGTAACAATCATTTGACAAACAGCAGAACCCGCACCAGCCATTATCTGTCTATACATTGGTAATGATCTAAAAATAATATTTACCTATGCTATGTTTTTAGAACAGAAACTGTTACATAAAAGATTTGCAGCAAAACATAGATAATACTCTAAATATATAGACATTTACCCGTCTGTCTTTTTCAAATAGAACCTGAACATATCATTGGCTGCTAATTTTATAGCTTTCTCCGGTAATATTAGAATCAAATTTACGAATGAACCTTTATACATTCCGAGAAATCCTTCTTTTCTAAATGTTTTTACAAGTGCGTCCATACTGAAAAAGAAAAGTAAATATAAAAACAATACAACAAAAATAATTAACGTTGTATTCTAGAAATAACAAACGACTTTTTTAAGTTGATCATAAAATTCATTTCGTATTAAACCAGGCAACCATTGCACTTGCACTCAGGGACTGCTTGCGCTGTCACAAGGAAATTTTGATCAATGGGTACAACTAGTGATGCCGCGAGACGAGACGAGAAAGAGAAGAGGCCTCTCTCGTCTCGTTTCTTTCGTGATAAAACCATATATCAAATTTAAATTTGGAACAGATATTGTTACCTATCACTAGAGTTGCCAGACGTCACGCTTTCGGCGTGATTGCTACGCTTTCGGCGTGATTGCCACTCTTTTTGACTTGCCTGTACGCTATTTATGCAAATTCCACGCTTTTGAAAAGCCACAGAGGAATCGTTTTTACGAAAAATTAGCTGAGGACCTTTTTTTTTAGAAATGTTCACAAAAACTGGACCTGATTATATAAAAATGCTCTACTCGTTTTACGAAAAATAAGCGGAGGACCTTTTTTTTTAGAAATCTTCACAAAAAATGGACCTGATTATATAAAAATGTTCTATCGTCACAGTTACCACGCTTTTCACTTCCGGAAATGTGCCAACTCTACCTATCACCCTACAGAGTGCTGCGGTCGTCATACCTTATTTGCCTAGTTTACTTCCCTCCTTATTCCTTATATACATGTCGAAACGGCCATACGAAAGGTATAGTGGCCGTTGGTGTTGTTCATTTCTACACCAGTGGGACGAACGACAGAACCTAACGATTGCTATTTTTCCAGCTTATCTCCAAAAGTAACCTCAGAAAAACAGAATGGATTTAGTTTATGAAATTTTATAAATATTTTTATTATTTTTAAAAATTCAGGTTTTCAGGCGATGTATTTTTATATTTTTTTAAAAATGGCAAAAAAATAACTTTATCCATATTACTGACCAGCTAAGAAAGCGATTTAAATAATTGAATGCTATTTATATAGGGCGAATAACCTCTAAAATTTCCCATATGGCTAAAAGAAGTTAAATTTACTCTCTATATCTGTTTTTTAATAATTTACGGTTTTATATTTACAAATTATCAAATCTAAAGTATTTTATTTTTTCTTTGTTTAATCCAAATGTATTTCGCGGCATCACTATAGGTATAACAATGTCTAAATCATCCGCGGATCTACAGGATTTGGTCCCAAGAGCTCAATATTCTAATTTTGTATATCCCGGTAACGTTACCAAGGTTGCCAGGTCTTAAATTTTGTTTTGTCAGGATCACTGAACTCTATACTGTTTTAATGGAACGCTATTCCTAATAACAAAAAGTGTGCCGTTTTGATTTCGCGCATTATGTCACTTAAGGTTAATACTCATGCGCAATAAATAGTTTTCATAGCCGAGTACCAGCACCATTACGTTATGGGCAGGGCCGGCTTTATTTATTAAATTAATTTATACATTTTGATGTACATCTAAAATAAAGTTTTTGAAAAGTTAAGGTGTGTTTAGTCAGCCAGATTTTGTTTTAAAAATTAAAATAGATATTAACATAAACACAAATTTAAGGAGATTTGGAAATTCAGAAAATGAAAAATCCCTAATTTCCCGAAAAAATGCGTGTACCTCCGCTTTTAAAACAAAACCATTTATACACAAAATTTATTGATAGGTAAAAAATAATTATAATGGAAAAAAGACATATGGTAGCTGCTTCTGAAATTGTTCTGTGAACTCTCACAATCATTATTTATAAAACAGAGTTTACAAGTTCGAAAATTAATAAAAATGCTTAAACTAGCAGGCCGGCAAATCGATCACGAACGTACAGCTCCACTAGTTATGCAAAAATATTGCCCGATTTGCAAAATATATTTTTATATAGATAATTAAGTACTACGATAAATAGAACTGAACTTACTGGTATAATGGCAGTTTATTATTTTTACAAAACAAAACCATACATTTCCGCACCATTTTAAAAGGCACTTAGTGTCCTCTGATTTTTTGTTAAATAAAACTTAAAATCAATACTGTAGGGTGTCCAAACAAACACAAATTTGCAATAATTTTGAATCTAGCAAATTTCAACAAAGCAGAAACAACTAAACCAAACTAAACAAACTAAAAGCACAACACTTCAGGTGCTTTGGGCTAAAGTTATCTCTGTTCACGCCGACCAGCGTCATGGCTACCATGTATACGCAAGCGCACGTACCTTACAGTACAGTACTTTCAAAATAAATATACTCCATTCGACGCTGCATGGATGGCACAAATTTTTTTCACTTATGTATTGTTTACTAGTGTTCCAGTAACAGTTACAGTTCAGTGGTCAGGATTTAATAATTAAAAATATTAATAATATAACCTACTTACTCACATGCTTGAGTACGTTTTTGTACCGTCTGGACGGATAACTTGATTTTGTAATCTGGTTTTGACAAGATCTAAGGGAAAAACACATAAAACGCCTATGAATCCAGCTATGCCTCCATTGAGTATTTTGGGCAATAGGCTAAAACATAAACTTTGGTTCAGGGTGTCCAACCAGAATTTTAAATAGTAATAAGTTAAAACATTGTTTAAGCATAAAAATAAGTCATATTAGATAATTAAAAAGTTGAGAATGTTGTAGCAAAATTGATTGGGAATTTTTTTAGTTTCTTTTGTTAATAAGATTTAATTGCCTATGGATGATGAAACTTACCTAAACGTCTTTTGTTTTTCAGCCATGGTATAAAAATTTAGTAGGTACTGAACTAAAACTGAACGATTACTTTAAAATATGGGAATCATGATTATGTTTCTATTTTCTATTAGATATGATTGCTCATTTACCAATGTTTTGAATGGTCATGTACATTCAGTTTTGAAACATATTTTCATTTTATGTATTACACACAAAGAATTTTCCACTTTTACTAAAGTAATGTAAAGAATTTACGCTTTTATGTTCATGACATGCAATTTGGATGGTAGGTATTATTTTTGATTCTAAAATAATCAAAGTCAAACAGCTTAAGGTGGAAGTTTTTAATTCTGTCATCAAAAGATTGATAACCAATAGACATGTAGGTACCCGAATAACCCCACCAGACATGCATGTATTTTTACTTTTTCTGTCTATAAATCACAAAACAATAAGTTTGGTGTCTTTAATTTCGCAGTTCCATTTTCTTATGTATTTTGTATTGAAATTAGTTGCTTGGAACAAGTAAAAATTACGTAATTTATTTTTTCTACGATCACTATCCAAAGTAGGCTTTTGGGCTTCGAAATTCAACCCGAGAATAACCAAACGTCGAGAAGCGACAAAGACCCTTTCCCGCCGGGTCGGTTTTCGACGGCGCATGATCGAAAATATGGTGTCTATTTGCATGTGGCCAGCTAGATCAGCGCGACACCGTATACGAATGTGTCCAGCGATTTTGATCCGAGCGCAACAACTGTAGTTTCGACTGTTTTGAATTATTTGTTTCAGTTATTACTGTGTGATTTACTCCCTTACTAAAAACATATTTAGAGTTGAGCAGTGTAAATTTCAAATTTCCCCGCGATCGCGCGACTGCGAGCCAATTCAACTTGCGTGCGGTGTAAATATGGTGTCTTCAAGGTCACCGAAAATCGACCCCACAAACATCAAACGTTCCGACAAAGCTGTCGCTTCTCGGCGTTTGGTTATTCTCGGATTCAACCGCAAAGTTGACGTTTTCCACGAACTGAATTTAATTGACAGCTTTGTCGATCGCCGAGCGGAAAACTTGACAATTTTGTCGCTCATTTAATTTGAATTAGATATAATTATGAAGACTAGAGATAAGGAGACAAATCGGCATACTTTGATTACTATACGACGCAAGAGACACGCCCAACATAGGGCGCGGCCATTTTGATTCCTATGCCACAGTTTATAGCTAAAGAATCAGATCGCTCACTCTTAATCGGCACTTTTGATCTCAATGTTCCAGTTTATACACTGCGCAACTCGGATAATGCAATATATGACAACCGCCTTTAATAAAACAGCAGTCTTCTGCGTATCCTGAATTTGTATCCCTGGAGTGGATGTTATTTTGGAACTTTCAACTGGTCCGAATGAGCTAACTGATTCTTTAGCAATAAACTGTGACTCCAAAAATGATATTCACTGACATTGACAGCAGCAATCAAAACATCAGGTGCGTTTTAATCATCCGCTTCTGCTTCCGGAATTGTCGGTTTAGTCGTTTTAACCTGTCAGATTAAAACAAGAAAACCGACAAATCCGAAGCAGAAGCGGATGATTAAAACGCATCTATTAAAAATATTGCACCAATATGTAGGCAACACGTAATAAAGGATCAAAATAGCGGAGTTTTCTATCTCCTTTTAAAAGGCACTCAGAAAGCTGCGCAGTGCGACCATTCTCCGTATAGTAAAAGAAAATCAAAGTATGTGCAAAAAACGCATGCTAATTGAGCTTCTACAATTAACCGCATGGGCGCTGGTACTGCATACGTTGTTCAAAATAAATGGTTTCTTATGGGAATTATACATAATTTTGTAAAAATAAAAATAAACTTGTTTACAGCTAAATAAAGAACAGAACATACTGTTGAATTTATTTCTATATAAGTCTTGGTTGTTTTAATTGATAAATTATTTAATTTTATCTATATAAAATACAAATTAGGTATGTATGACCAAATTCGAAAAGGTTTTTTAATTGCTGAAATTTGATAAGTACAATTTTGTGGCAATTTTTTTTTAAATCGAACCAATATATAGTTTTAAGAGTAAAATAAAACACAGTCAACAGATTGATTATTGTTGTAATACAAGTATAAAGGAAGATTTGGAAATGTACATGGTATTACCTCATCCTCTAATTTCAGCTTTCCCCTTTTTATTTTGCTAACAGTACCATCAGTAAAAATAGTCTCATAATATTTGATAATATCTTCTAAAAAGTATAGAACAGCATCATCTCTAGAAAGTACTTTTTCCTACGACCACTTAGGAAAGTGACACATATCACACTATATAGTCCTATGGAAAGTACCCTATATCACACGCGTATGAATAAGAATTTACTTTCCACCCGTGTACGAATATGCTACTTACCGCAGCAGCTGTCACAAAATGTCAAACACATCATTTCCATTTTAATCTATGTAATGTCCATATTAATACTAATATCTATATGATTTTTAAATTATTGAAATTGTTGTAAATTAGATTCTAGATAATTATCTTTAACAATTATTATTAAAATAATTTTAAAATAACTAAGTTATGTTTGCTTATTATTTTGGTTAAACACATAACCAATAAGATCATTCAATTGACCCAAGGCTTATTAGCTCAGATGGTTAGAGTGTCAAACTTATCAACTTTGCCATTTGAGACCTGGCGAGCGACCGCGTTTAAATCCTTTTTTAATTTAATTTTTTGGTTTTTTTGTTTAAAAAATATGAAAATTGAATAAATACGATTATTGTTGATTATTTTTTAAAATACATTTTAATTATTATAATAACCTGGTTTTACATTTTTTGATGAAATTATTTTGTGGTCGTAGAAAAAATATTGTAACAGTGACATTTTCCACACTCGTGTGATAGTCGCATTCGGCTTGTGCCTCGTGCGACAATATTTCCCACTTGTGTGAAAAATCTCACTTTCCACACTCGTAATGTATATACAGGGTGTCCCGAAATTAGACGGTCATATTTTAACAACGTAATCTACATCCTAAAATAGGAATAAAAGTTCATATAAATATAGGTCCGAAAACGTTTCATTTTCGAGATATAGGGTGTTACAAGTGAAGTCCAGATGGCACATTTTTGTAAATATTTTCTAAAATTTCTTTAGTCACCGGTTTTCCAAAGTAAAAAAAAAATAAAATTTTTGATTTCACAAACCTATTAATTATTGTTTACACTTTCGAATAACTTATCATGCAATTTTCAAATGCTTTATTCTTGAAAATGGTGCCTCCTAGCGAGATGCAACAAAAGTAGTTTTATTATAAAAAAAGCATTTGTTTTCCAAATTTTATAGTCAAAAATATTAAAAACTGTCAACAAAAAAAACTTAGGGCAATTTTACCCTAAGTCCTCCCTAATTTACGCACCTATGAAGATAATAAAAAACTGGGGTTAAGTCTATTAAATAGAGCGTTAAAAGGTAAGCATTTGTACCAAATTTCACTTAGTTATTTTTAAAGGTTTAGAAAATATTTACAAAAGAGTGTCATCAGGACTTCACTTTTAACACCCTGTATTTCGGAAAAGAAACGTTTTCGGACTTATGTTTATATAAACTTTTACTCATATTTTAAGATGTAGATTATGCTGTTAAAATATGACCGTCTAATTTCGGGACACCCTGTATATGCTGCCACTGTTCTAAACGTTTAGTATCCTATAAAAAACATTTACAATAACACAAATGAGGCCAAAGAAAAAAATAACAGTTGCAACTCTTTATCTAACATTAAAACTATAAAAAATAAATTTTCTTTTCTAATAAGTTAAATTTAATGCATAATTATTGTTGTTTGTAAGTCAGCAATTTTATATTATAGGAACTTATAATAATATAAACTATACTTCGTAAGATACATATTGTGACTAGTTTACAATCAATATTATATTTAGACAGGAAAACATTATTTTATTTACATTAAAAGCTTTAAAAAGACATTGAATTGATTTCTTCTTATTTTCTTTAGTTTTACATTTGATTTCTATACTGTTTTACAATCTGAAACGACGTAAATCTTGCTTTGTTTTGTTTGTCACTTATTTTACTTGTACTCAGGTACTTTTTTTCAGATTATTTTGATTCTTTTCATATTTTTTTTTAAAAAATCACTTTATTTTATATTGACTTACATAGTAGTTGGCAATTTCGCGCACTTTATAAAATAAAGGACGGAAATTTGAAATTTGACCATTGCCGATTCGCCTCCTTCTCTTTGATCTTCATATTTAGGACCACCAGTTTATTTCTTTTTCCCCCTCTATTTTTATAATATTGTTTTGATTTTGAGAGAATATCAAATTACAAAACACCTTTACTCAGAAAAGGTGTATATGGTAATCATCTGATAGTATCGTCTTCATGGCTGCAGACGATAATTATTATAATATTACAATGATAAACAAATTTCTATTGTCAATATCGTCGGCTTAATATGAAAAGTACATAAGTCCAAATTTTTAGATTTTGCGATTTTGGCTGAATCTGGTTCACTGCTGCTAAAGCTATAGAAATATATTCTTAGTTTACGAAAATTGTCACTAGATTTTACTAAAAACACTATGTAAAGCTTGTAATAATAACGTAAAAATAAGTACAAGTGACTCAAAGTTATATTAAATCGATCATACTTCAACAAATATTGATCTATAAACCATGTTTAAATTTTGAATGGAGTTGTGCAATTTTCATAACAATGTAATTTTTATTTAACTATAAATTTTAAATAAGCCGTAAATTCGTTTTTTGTCTCTCCTGTAAAATTGTTTATTTTGGACTTATGCAATTTTTATATTAAGCCGACGATATATTTAGTTCTTATGTACAATTTATGTATGTTTTTCTATTCCTAACAGATATTCTGCAATCCCGAGATATTACACCACCTGAGTTATCCCAAACAAAGGAGCTATTACCATGATTCTGCAAGCTCCTCCTTTAAAAAATGCTTTCTTAGAAGAAACAATCTTTATTTTAAATGTGTGCAATCAAATCGAACACTTTTAACACTTGGTGAAAACTACAGAGCGATTTAAATTATTAAATTATTAACTGAGAAAAACGAAAATAATTTTTCACAGATTTAGATGGAAATGCACAGGTTACCCTCCTAAATTCCTCTTGCTTGTGCCTTAAATTCTAATGAAAATTTGAGACTAAAAATTGTGGTTGCTTGGAAGGATTTTGACTTAGTTGAAAATATGAAAACATAGAGAATACCTGTTATAGCGCGATTAAACAACTCTGTACTTTAAGTTAATTCAAGGGCAGAGTTGGCTTTAGATATGGAATATATTATATCCTTGTTCGTGTTAAGAATGAAAATTTTACTATATTTTTGCTTAAGATATTATGTCGAATGTATATCTGTTTTGTTTTTAGTAATTTTGATCATGTTTGGAATAACCACACTTATTGCATACTTAAAGTGGGAACTTTTCGATCAGCCTAGCATATTAGAAACTTTACCAACGACATTTCCTTTGCATATAACAGCTGTTTTAGTAGCTATACAGCTATGTCTGACGTCAGCAGTTAGTAACAGGGCTCTGTACCAGCAGATGGAGGATTGCATGGGAATATCAAGAGGTATTATCATGGTTGAGGTCCGAAAAATAAATGCAATTTTTGGAAAATATGAAAATAAAAAATCCCAATTTTCCCTATTTATATATTTTTATTTTATATAGCCCATTTAGTTAATTATTTTTTTTTAGATTTCAATTCGAAAAGATGTGTTCTGCGAACCAGTTTAACAGTTCTGGCCATAGTTATAGCAAAGTCAGTTCCACGGTTCGATCTTGTCATGTCAATAATAGGAGGAACCCTTATTGGTATTCATATTACCGCTACTAATTTTTATAAAAATAAGAAAAATGAGAAAAACGTATATAGAACTAGCTTTAACTTCTTTTACAAACATAATTTTCACCAAAGAATCTAATTCTTAAGATATATTGAAAGGAAGTTTGAGGATGAGTCTACGCAAAGCTCACATTTCGTTATTATCAGATTCAAATCGTCTTTTGAGGTTATTTTATGCACTTGTATCATAGCTGTTAGTATTATTGTGACCTTAACAGCTAGTTATATAAACTTTTCTAATGCTGTTTATTCGTATACAAATGTGACTTGTCCATGTATTTATAATATTTCCAGGGCTTTAATCTATTGATAGAAAAGCAATAAAACACTTTTTTAAAAAGAATTTAATTCTATAAGTTAATAAAATTATGTATGTTTTTGCATTCCTAACAAATATTCTGCAATTCCGAGATAATATACTACTTGGCTTACTCCGAATAAAGGAGCTATAACCATTATTCTGCAAGCTCCTCCTTTAAAGAATGATTTCCAACCTTCTTTTTCATAAATTTTGCTAAAACCGAAAATTAGAATAATAATTATTAAATCACATTTTTAATTTTTTATGATAGACCGATGAAATAGACCGTGATAATGTTGACGTCAAAACAAAGTTGGTAACACGTATTTGTTTCCATCATAGCTCTCAGAAAGTCTTAATACCGCATCGTGAAAAAATTTTGATCCCCAATATGATGGGCGCCATTATGGGTACATTTTAAGTTGGCACTACTGACAAGACAGAATCGGCGCTAGTTTATTAATAACCTTATGATCGGCGCTCGACGTATATTTATAGTCGATTTTATTATCTGTTGTGTTGTATATTTAGTTCTTCTAGTAAATGTTTTATTTAAAACATTTTTTTAGTATTATGTATTATTTTATTAAAAAACGTTTGTAGTTTGGTGTTACATTTTTACAGGATTTCCAAAATGTCTTGTTGTTTTGTACCTGGATCGGGATTTAACAATGCATCTTACGGTAGAAGATACAAGGAAGGAATAACATTTCATGTGTAATTTTTCACAAATGTTTGTGTATTTACAAAATCTAATAATTTGTATGTTTTGCTGTAGCATACCAAAAAATTTTAGGAACGAATGACTGACAGCCAAAGGGAGATTATCGGATCATTTTGTAACGTTAGTATAGGCCCAGAAAATTAGTGGTATACTAGCTGAAACTGCAAATGTGTTATTGGCTCCTTGTTAGTGACCTCTGCTATTGTACAATTTTTTCAACACAAGTTCTATGCTCCTTTGAACTTGGCTGCACCATACTGATGAAGACCAATAGCCTGGAAAACATGTCGACTGTTACTTCTTTTTTACTTTTTTTTCCTGTTTGTGTATGTTTTTAAAAGTGTTAAGGTGTTTTATTTTAGTGGAATATTCTTGTTTTAACCAATGCTCCCTATTTTCACAGGTACGTTATGTCAAAATCAATCTCATGAAATGTAAATGTAGATGAGCGTAACAACTGTGCTAGGGTTTTATTTATTTCTTGATATAAAAATACCTAATTGTAGAAACTGGTTATTTTATGGTATATACATTTATAGGTTACCAAGAGACATTGTCCAATGTCATTGTAGCTGAACAACTTAAAAATAAATGAGGAAGATCTCAAAACTGAAAGATGCCAAAGTTTATTCAGATCACTTCTCACCTGAAGATTTATTTAACTATATTTTCAAACATTTTATTTCAAATCCAATGTTTTGCCAATAGAGTAAGTAAACAAGTGTCTTTATATACATATTTTCGTATTGATATAGGTAAAAGGTAATTTATAAGTATTTATTGCAAACGTCTACTTACACCTAGTTAAATAATTCTTTTTTGAAACTAAGTGTTATTGAGGTCTAAAATACTGCGAAAAATAGCTTAGAACTGTTTTCTCCCAGTTGTAGTTTAATAAACACAAAGTAAACTTGTTTGATTGTACTAAACCCATTATTGAAAACTTATAATTTTTTTTAGTACATACTTCGTTAAGGGAGGTAGTATAGAAAATGTATATGTGAAAACAGGGCCGTCGAGAGCCAGAGCGGGTTCCAGGACAATTCTCCAGATCGGGCCCCAGGAGAATTTTCCAGATCGGGCCCCGCGACAATTTTATAAAAAATTAAATAACAGAAGGTCTTTAACCAAAAATTTCTCCTGCTGTACTTGAATTTTTCTAGAAAAAAAAAAAAAAAGATTTTCAAGCAAAAATTTCTCCTCCTCTACTTGAATCTCTCTAAAAAAAAGGTCATCAACTAAGAACTTCCCCCGTCTTCTGTCGAACTTCTGAAAGTAACAAACACCACCGCTACCAGGCGCCTCTTATACCACTGCCGGGCCCCCATTTGAGCCCAGGCCCCGGGAATATTTCCCCGGCTGCTCACCCCCTCTAGTCGGCCCTATGTGGAAACGACTGAAGATTATATTTGCTCAGTGCGAAGTTATGGTAGGGCAAGCAAAAGCGATACTAGCGCAAGCTGTAGATAATTCGACCACTTTAGGGCGATATTTTGTAATTTTGGCGTATTAAGTATACGTATACATTTTACTTTTTTTTGCAAAAAAGAAGTAAGAACAATATAATAAGCAACTGTAGTTGGTGTGTACTAGAAGTAGAAAAGTAAGTTTTCACTTTTTACAAAATCAAATTATTTTTAAATTCTAAGATATTTTGTTTATTAATTAATTTATTCTTTTTTTTTTTAATTTATTCGGGTTCTGTGGAAAAGAAAAGGAAACATCAATCCACGTCCTGCACCAATGTGAAAGCCTAACTAGATTGAGGTTTCTAATACTAGATGAAGAAAAGCCAGACACATGTAACTACATGCATGTGGATGCCATTGTCAAGGAAATTAAGTCTAATAAAAAAGTACAAGCTTAAATGACACTCTAAAACAAACGGAGTCCCACAATAGATCTGAAAAGATCGCGGTGGACACGGACAAATATTGTCAAACTCCTTTTAAATCTAATATCCAATCTACCCTTATTTTTGACAAAAGCGTCGTGACATGCCACTCAATTTTGGTAAGCCTTTTTTGTACAATTAGCTATCGCATCGGAATTTTTAACAATTTTTACGGAAAAGTCTTCAGTATTCTGAGAAATTCTTCATGTATTCGTTTAATTCGGCATTTAGAAGCAAATTGATATGAAAATATTGTTTATTATTCGCGCTCATAAGGAGCCTATATATTAATTGCAAATGGTTACAACGTTGCCAACTTATCAGTTAAAATGTTGAATATAGCATAAAACCATGGAAATATCAGAATTCAATATTCAAAACGATAAACCCCCTTGGATTATGGAGGAACATAATGATGCGCGGGGTTCTGCCTAAATATAACCAATGGGTTTTGAATTGTAAACAATTTTGCTGCAGGTAAAAATACTAAATACTTATGGTATCTAATACCGACCAATTTTAAATTAGTTGTTTACATGTAGTAATTATTAAGGTAGTTCACGCGCGACAGTCGTACACAAAAATATCGCCAAAAGTTTGAGATTCTCAAAGCGGAAAAATGTTATTTTTGTAAGAGACTGAACACAATACATGTAAGCTTATGTACGGATACATTATTTAAAGTAAAATCCATCCGGCAACGTCACAAATATACGAATGGTGCGCTATCAAGTGTACACCTATAGAAATTTGTGACTTCCTCATACTAACTTTAAGGGATTATTTTGGTTCAAACAGAACCGTCGATTCCAATTCTCAAATACAGTAGACAAATTAATTTTTCAAGAACACGTCACGAGGTTATAACAACCTCTTAGCTAATCAAGTGCAATTCAGTGATTCTGAACTAACAATGTTGCCAAGTTGTAATCATTATACCCCACTACGCGTCGATTGCTTTAAAAATATTTTTATTTTAAAAATCTATATCTTTTTACCCAAACGGTCAAAAAATTCAGCGTTTTTTTAGAAAATTTTATAACTTCTTGATTTACATTACATTAGTTTTTAAAAATATATAGTAAGAACCGTTTTAGAGATATCTTGAAATAAATACATTGCTTGTGTACATGACTGTTAATTATGTACAATTTCATTGTTAATATCTCGTTTCACAGACGGTCAAAAAAATTAATTTTTTTTAGCTAGTTACGTAAAAGACACTTTCATTAACCTTATATTTAAATTTTATTGAATTCTTAAGAAAAGCCGTTTTACGAATGAACTATTTTAAATATTATTTTAAAAAAATGAAAATAAAGCCTTAAAATCTAAATCTTGATGCTTATTTTTAATTATATTTAATATGGAACTTAATTTTTAAATAAAATGTTCCTATTTATTGTAGGTTTTTATGTGCATTTTAAATAAGGAATTTTTATTATAGGTACTTATGTAAATATACCAGAAAATTTCCATCGTCTCTAACCATTTTAAATTAGTCACACCACTTCATGCATTGTCAGAATTGTTAAAATAGAGAACAAACAATGCCATTATTTCTTCTATTTCCTCTGACTTGTGTACGGCAAAATTTTGCTACAGTACTTTGTAAATAATAAAGTTCATTAATTTTTGGTTGATAAATAAAATGCTTTAACTGGTCTTTATTTTAATTCATAAGTATGTAGTCAGAAATATGTATAATATTCTTGCTTCACATATAAAACGGGTTCTTCACAATATTTTTCTATTTTCTTTTCTTCTTCATCAGTCAAGCTTTATAGTAGATATATTTACTCAAAATGTATACAAATTGTTTAAAGTACAAAATTAATAATCCTATAAAATTGAGTAAATAATATATAAAATGACAAGCCTGTGCATGATCTATGTATTATCACAATACTGTTAAATATTATTCTTACATTGAAAGTTAAAAATATACGTTATAAAGCAATATTTTTAAAATCATGTCCATCCGCTTTCATCTAGCCATTTTATAGTAATTAACAATATATAACCCCTTCCATACGGTACGGCACTGCCAAGTTTTCCGTTTGTGAGCCTTTCCTCTCTACCCGTCTAGATAATCATTAAGGGTGAGATTACAGAACGTCTGCAACTTTGCAGATCTGCAAATATGGCGGCAATTTTGAAAATCTGCAAATATGACTGACTTACACATGCTAGTATCAAGTTTTCGTATTCCAAATTTGGGTTTAGTGTTGTTGGTGGTAATAAACCACAATAAATATTGCGAATTTGCAGATATTTTTTGGAATACTTGCATTTGTAAGTCCGCCATATTTGCAGATCTGCAAAGTTGCAGACGTTCTGTAATCTCACCCTAAACCCACTACTTCCACAGGTAAGGCGTATCTATCCTACATGATCGAATGCGGTATCTATACTTTCCGAGGGCTATGGTTTCCATACACAAAACATGTAGCCATCGTAACGATGTCAGATATTACTATCATCTATTACAATATTGTAAATAACTACTTTCATGTTTTTTACGAATATTTTTGGTTCTGTATATAAAATAGTGATGGGTCGCTTGGAAAAGCCAATGGACAAGTCCGACAGACTAGTCAGAAAAGTTGACTAGTCGAAACACACTTTTAAAAAGTGGAAACGTGAATTGCGCATGCGCGAAATTAGATTAGTTAATTTGTCTGAATTTCTTACAAACAAAAACAAAATATGGTTTAAAAAAGAAGAAATGACAAATGATTACTGACTTTTATATGGTTTAACGATATTTTCGAATTTCGTTTCATATCTTATTAAAATAAACTCATGAAAAATTTACCAACATCCAAAGATTGGAAGTATTTAACAAATGATTTGCCAAAAAAATAAAAATGCAAATATTATTCCCAAAGTGGTTTTGAAAAGACATCCAGTATGTGTGTCTTCTATTCTCAAGGTCGATTACTTTTCATTCCATTGGACTAGTCCAAAAATTAGGTACTTTTCATGAAAAGTCCCATCACTAATATAAAATAATAATAACGCAGAACTTGATTATATAAGTTTTCTTGTACAAACATTGAACATTTAGTATTTCATGTAAAAGAATTTAGATGTGAAGTGTAATAGAGAGAAGAGTAGAAAATATCTTGGAAGAACCAAATATTCGCTCAGTTCGAAGTCATGGTAGGGGAAGCAAAAGCGATACCAGCGCTAGCTGCGGATAATTCGTGCATTTTAGGCCAATATTTTGTAATTTTGGCATATCAAATACACATATACATTTTATTTTTTTTTTTCAAAAAAGTGAGTGAAAACAATAAAATAAGCAACCAGAGTTGCTGTGTTGAAAATTTTAAAAATACTAGCAAGAAAACAGTGTAAATTATAAAAAAAATCTAGTAGCAAACTGGAAATTAAAGATATAAATGGATATGTGTACAATAAGAAGAAAAAAAAAAACCTTTATTTGTGTAATAATAACATCAGTAATACTGGAAATAGTAGACATTAGAAACTTGAAAGGTTTTAAATAAACAATAAATATCATTTTACGATATACTTTTTAATTACGAAGTCTATTAAAAATTGTATTGTCAGTACATGCAAATATAGTCCATTAGTACAAAATTGAATTGGCGCTATTGTCACGCACGGAGCGAATAAAAAGAACATAAATATCAGTTAGTTTAAAAGCAGTTTAACACGATTCTCTTGTCAACATTAGATCTTTTATTTTTTATGCTTTGCACCTGCAAAACACAATGAGTAACTATATGTGTCTATAAAGGTACCATTAGAGAACGCGAGACCGAGGCAGATGACAGACGACAGCAGCAAGGCAGCAAATATCGCCTTATCGGTTGCGCTCTCCCAAATACAGGGTGTATCAACGATGCGTGGGTGAACGATAGCGGCTTCCCTATATGAGATAGGAAAAAATGCTTCAAATAAAAGTTGTAGAGGGCATTAAAAGCTACGTTCCAAAAATAACTACCAATATACAGGGTGTCCGATAAATGTATGAGTTATCGAAGGAAACACCATATATATTTTTACTCGATTAAATTTCTTTGGAAGAGTGTTTCTCAAATATATAGGGTTGTGTGGGTTTATACTGGGTGGTTAGGAATTTATTGTGGGATTTAGGTAACAAAATGGGTTTATTCAACATCAAATATCTCTAAATCAATAATTTGGAATAAATTTTTTTTACTGCCGAATATTCTCGAAAATAGTGTATTTTCATTTCCTATTCATAATTTTACCGACTGACGCTTTTCCCATACAGGGGCAACCAAAACTCGGGACCACTTTTTTCTCAGTTTTTTCAAATGGAACACCCTGTAAATGAGGCCATACCAGGATAGCCCATACCATGAGCTTTCAGAAAATGTAGGGTTTGCCTACTTGATTTTTATCGGAAATGTATCTAATTCTTAAGGAAAGTATAAAAAAGTTATATTTATTGGTAGTTATTTTTGGAACGTAGCTTTCAATGCCCTCTACAACTTTTATTTAAAGCATTTTTTCCTATCTCATATAGGGAAGCAGCTATCGTTCACCCACGCATCGTTGATACACCCTGTATATTTTATTCAATTACATGTGTTCAGACCTAAAGAGACCGTTTTCGGTCGCTTTACGCCGTCGCTTGCTGCTGTCTTATGTCGCGGTCTCGCCTTCCCAAATGGTACTTTTAAGGTGTCGTCTATACGTGTGGGTATATGGGGATATTCTTAATTTTCGCATTAAATAAAACGCGTGAATGTGTGTACTATATTCTATTTATGTAACTATTTTCGATTTATAATATAAAACGAAATCATGTGTTGATGAAATGATGTTATTTTCCACTATTCACAATATTATACACAAAAATATGATTTATAACTTACACGAAAGCATCATAAATCCCGGTATATATTTCTTCACCGTCTCCCTTCTTGATAGTTTGAAGTCTGGTCTTAACAACGTCACATGGGGTGCAAGTTATAGCAGCCACCCCCCCTGCAAATAGACCTGCCCCAAACGTGCAAAAAGGCTTCGCATCACCTACAAAAAAAAAAGAAAAAAAAAAGAAATCATATTTTTCCAAATCTTTGTCTACAAGCCTTATGATTTTTCTAATACCCTAATATTTTAGGTATATATGAAGTATAGAAGAGGGGCCAGGACGGAGCCTTGTGGTAGTCCCCAAGTGGTGTAAATGGAACTGACAGGGCGTTGCCTACTTTGACTGTTCTGTCAGTGAGTTATGAGTGCATGAGTTTGGAGATATTGAGAGAAAGACCTATGTTTATAAGCTATTTGACTAATCCAGCGTGCCAGACTTGGTTAAAGGATTTTTAAGCATCGAAAGAAACAGCTGAATATATTTGAAGAGTTTAATGCTGTGACCGTAGTAGTATATAGTGAGGATATTGCGTCCTGAGTGGAGTGATGAGATCTGAAACCACGTTGAGATTGAGAAATTATGTTTAGTTCGTCACGAAAGGTCGAGATTCTATCCTTGAGTAGAAGTTCAAGGAGTTTACTGATATAAGGAAGATAGGACGGTATGCGTCTAAGGATTTGGGCTCTTTGCCTGGTTTGGGAATTAGAATGGTGTTGATGTATTTGCAGACAAGTAGGAAGTAGGATAGGGAAAGACACGCGTTCATGAATAGGGTAAGGATAGGCTACAGTTTCAGAAATATGTTTCAGCGTTCTCCTGTGCATGGAATCGAACTCAAAGTGTAGTTATTATTATCATCAATATTTCAAATATTACAACTACTAACTTACTGTACTCTAGTGATATATGGTCGATAAATAATCGATTACTCGAAAAATAATCGATTACTCGGAAAATAATCTATTACTCGAAAAAAAATCGATTAATGGAATAATAGGTTACTCTTAAATAATCGATTAATTGGACATAATTGACTATTTTTAAGTAATCAATTAATTGAAAATAAGGGATTATTTTAAATAATCGATTATTTATTTTTTTAATCGCATGTTCCCAGTTATGATCTAACGTACTTAGCAATCATTTTTTAGCAACATAATTATTTAAATAGGAAGTTTTATTTGAGTAATTAATTTTTTTTATTAATTTACAGAAATCTACTAAAATTTACTAAAACTAGCCAAAGAAGATAAAAATCTACTAAATGTGACAACATTGGATCAAAGGCCCTTCAGTCAGAGTGATTTGAACAAGCGAAGTTAACTGTCGTTAGATGCACAAAATAGTGCTTAAAATAGCGTAGATTCAAGCGGGCACATTGTTTCACGACCTCTCTTTTTAACTACAGGCATTCGTGGAAACGTCTCGCGTTTAATAAAAATATTACACCGCCAGACGCGACCAGATTGAGCGCAGTGGCGTACCAAAAAAGTAGAGAATAACACATACGAAAAATTGTATTTATGTGACTTCCCAGGCAGCACACATTAGTATAACTTACGTATTTTATACGTAATACTCGTTTAATTTTGGTATTGGTTGATTCCGTATACGTTTACAGTTTACTATTATTATACATACCGAGTTTTAAACGATATATTATACGTTTTTTATACACATCCTATGGTATATAAGTGTACATTTTTCTACGTTTAAATATAGTTAACAATATAGGATTCATTTTAGTTTGCGATGAACTATTTATATACAGTGGGCTTAAATATACGTTTAGGTTTATTTAAATTAAATTCGTATAAATTTACATAATATTACAATAGGTGTTCTTCGTTTATAATTCCCGTTAAAATTTCATCTTGGTTGACTTTTTAAACGTTTACGATCTACCATTTTTATACTTAACGTTTTTTAACAGATAAATTAAACGCTTTTGTTTGTCGATACTAGTTAATATACCTATATTATTCTACGTTTAAATGCAAGTCACCTTAAACGAATATTACCAGTTTACGATGAACTAGTAGACATAAGAAAATAATATGTATATATTTAGGTTTATTTAAATTAATAGCTTATAGATATATTTATTTACATTATATCCATATTTTTTTAATTATATTACCTGTAATATTTATAACAAATTCCCAATACACACGGAACTATTTTTAGATGGCGGATGGAGGATGACGTTCTAGTGGTACGGTCTTTTCTCATTTCTACTCATGCGTATGTGTAGTATTATTGTTCAGTGTAGGGAATGGTTTGTGGCAGCACCAGGTTCGTCCATTTTCATTTGTGTACACGTTTTGTTGCATTGCATGCTGCTTTGGCGTCCTGGCTTTTACGATATTGATTAAAAGCATAGGTAAGTTTCTAATAATGCTTTAATTTAGCTACTCTTTTAATAATTGTTGCATTTTACAACAACTACTGTTTTATAGCTAGGTACAGTGTGTAAATGTTTATAGAAACTCCAAAACATAACCTTACTTTTGTTTCTCTTATTTTTATACGTATTTTTCAGGCTACTTATTTTCCTTTTTTTTTTGGTCAGTTGTTTTTTATTTAATAAAATGTCTCGGCGTCATCTACGTAGAAAAATAGCACAAAATATTCAAAATGCTTTAAAATCGAATCATTTTTTTTTATTCTATTATTTATAATAATTTCCAAGAAAATAATACAAATTTAACTTCGGAGCTTTTAGAAAATATTTCACCTGAAATTAAGTTACATTTTCGTTATAGGAATGAGGGTGAACCAAGCGACTTAACCGACCGAACGATTAGGTGTGCCATGCAAGATTGGCTTAAGTTAGCTAAGGCCTGTCTAGGACACAACACATCCAAAGTGTTAAGTTAAGATTTTAATTTTCATATATATTTTTTGTTATTTAAAGAAAAGTTCCGTTTAGTTTGTTATTCAGTATTTTAGTGTTTATTTTTTAGTACTTATTTATTTTTTAGTATTTTATTGTTTATTTTTAATAAAATATTCTTCTGTACATATAGCAAGTGATCAAAAAATTTCCTAACTATTTAGGCCAATAACAACTAAAATAGAAACACGAGTAATGACTGTTTCTCTGGTATACACACCTGCTATGGAAGAAATCCAAACTGTCATTTAAGAAATATTAACATTTTTCCATGGCCTTTGTTAGAAATTTTGTTTTTATCACTTTATTTAATTTGTGTTTGAAAAACATTTAAAAATCATACAAATATACAGTATGTAACTAAATAAGTGTAAAATATTTAAGGGGGTGATTCCTCATCGAAAAAAAGATAGGATCTTTTACATAAAGAAACTTCATTGGCGCATCCCTTGTTAAGATACAGCCCCTTAAAGGGGGTACATAAAATTTTACAGGTTAATTTCAATATTGTAACTTGTTTAGTGCTTGTGAAAAAAATTGTTAAACAAATTTCATGTACCCCCTTTAAGGGGCTGTATAATAACAAGGAATGCTCCAATGAAGTTTCTTTATATGAAAGATCCTATCTTTTTTTCGATGAGGAATCACTCCCTTAATTGTTTTACACTTATTTAGTTACACATTGAATATAAGATAAATCTAATATAGACGTACAGTAAAACAGGATAATTAAAGGTAGATAAAATAGTAATGTTAGACGTATAAAAAATAAAAAAAATATACGTTTATAGGGCGGACATTTTCACGTATATATTGGGTAGCATATCAACGGTATCCATACGTATATTGTAGTACATAAAAAAACGTCTTTTATACCAAAGTGGATTCGTATAAATATACTACAACTATAAATCTAATATAGACGTATAGTAAAAACGTTTAATTATAGGTGGATAAATTCTTAGTAATCGACGTTTATATATGACAAATAATATATGTTTATAAGGCGGACATTTTCACGAATATATTTGGTAGTATATCAACCGTATTCATACGTATGGTAATAGCTAAAAAAATACGTAATTTATACCAAAGTGTGCTGCCTGGGTTTAAAATTATTCATTTTTTATTAAATGTAACTAGGTGTTCACAGCACAAATAAACCAATAGAAAACCGCCCCTGTCTATAAATGAAACTGATTGTGTCACCTTCTTTAGATTTCGTGATACAAGTAATAACTACTTACCATCAGCTTGCTGCGGACACGCTTCATTCAAATTGGCAAAAAGTGGGAAATATATCATTGAAAATGGAATGTCTCGCAACATTGTTGCGTTTAGTCCTTTGTAACACCCAGCTATTCCATCCGTTTTTAATATACCCATAACAACTTGAAATGTATTAGGTCCACTTGCACCTACAAAGGCAATATATCAAATTATTTAATACTCTCTTTACTCCATAATAAATTACTGAAACTATATGATGTGAAGTTAGATTTGTAGTGAAAAGAGTAAAATGAGTTCACTCAAGGAACTCAGCTTAAGAAATGAAGTCTATAAGCCTCTATAAGCTTCAAAGGCTTCAGTGTCATTAAATTTAAGACCTAGGGACCCTGCGACTATAAAATAAATGTTACATTTTGCTAATTTTTACCATAACAGTAAATGCACTGTAATTTCTTCATCTAGTTAAATTGGTTTCATAGTAACTTCTTGCATTGAAAACGTTTTTGTATAAAATTGAAAATGTTTACCAGCAGATATTCTTCCTTGATCTTGCATTTGGATTTTAAATAGCTCCATTGGTGTAGTAACAATCATTTGACAAACAGCAGTACACGCACCAGCCATTAACTGTCTATACAATGGTAATGATCTAAAAATAATATTTACCTATGCTATGTTTTTAGAACAGAAACTGCTACATAAAAGATTTGCAGCAAAACATAAATATTACTCTAAATATATAGGCATTTACCCGTCTGCCTTTTTAAAATGGAACCTGAACATATCATTGGCTCCTAATTTTATAGCTTTCTCCGGTAATACTAGAATCAAATTTACGAATGAACCTTTATACATTCCAAGGAATCCTTCTTTTCTAAATGTTTTTACAAGTGCGTCCACACTAAAAAAAAAATATATGAAAACAACACAGCAAAAATAATTAACGTTGAATTCTAGAAATAACAAACGACTTTTTTAAGTTGGTCATAAAATTCGTCTTGTATTAAAACAGGCAACTGTTGAGCTTGAGCACTTGCGCTGTCATAAGGAACTTTACATCAATGGGTTTAACTAGTGATGCCGCGAGACGAGACGAAAGAGGCCTTTCTCGGCGAGAAGACGCTTCTCTCGTCGCGTTTATTTCCTGATAAAACCATATATCAAATTTAAATTTGGAAAAGATATTGTTACCTATCACCCTACAATGTGCTGATGTCGTCATAAGTAAAGGTGCGAGTAAAAGAAGAATGGAGAATATTCGAGAAATGTCATTCCACGTCAAGAGACATTGAACGTTTAGGGAAGGTTCTAAAAGGTTAAAGCGAGCTATATAAGTTGGTGATCCTGACGTCAGTTTGGAGTTTTGTGATAGAAGTTATACCTAAATAAATGTGTTCACTTTTGGTGCAGTGTCCACCAGTGTAAATTACACCACGCATTGTCTAGTTTATTTCCCTTCCTTATTCCTTATATACACGTCGAAACGGCCAAACGAAAGGTATAGTGGCCGTTGGTGTAGTTCATTCCTACATCAGTGAGACGAACGAAAGAACCTAAAGATTGCTATTTTTCCAACTTATCTCCAAAAGTAACCCCAGAAAAACAATGGATTTAATTTAAGAAATTTTATAAATATTCATTTTTAATATTTTTAAAAATTCAGGTTTTCGGGCGATGTATTTTTATATTTTTTTAAATACTTAGCAAAAATCTTGCATTGGAAAATAACCCTGTCATCAATTCGTTAAAACATTTGGAAACACTAAATAAAGAAAAATGTTTACAAAAAGGTAATTGACACTCCAGTATTATTAAGTTTAATGAACCAAATGGATGAGTTCCTTCCGAATATGTATTCTAATGAATTGCTGCCATGCCATGAATTTGAATTGGACATCCAACTCTCTTCAATTCCAGTTTTAAATCTTAGATCAATTAGGGATGACACTTATGGATTATCCATTTTTACTGACACAATAAACGAGCTACCCGGTTACACAAAATTCTTCACCGATGGATCTGTGGGACCTTCTAATGATTCAGGCTTCGGTGTATTTTCTCCAGACCTCAATTACGTGTTTTCAAGCAGACTACCTCAACATACACAAATATTTACTGCAGAAATTATTGCAATTAACCATGCCTTGCAAATCATTTTAGAAAAAAATATATTGAACTCAGTTATCTTCTCGGACTCCAAATCTGCTTTACAAAAAATTGGAAATATGAAATTCTCTACAGAAACTGATCATTGCTCCTTTCTAACAAAACAAGGTATCTTACTTGCTAATATGAATAACATCCACATCACTTTGGCATGGATTCCAGGTCACTCCGGCATTATTGGCAACCATAAAGCCGATCAATTAGCAAATATAGGCAGAATCCTTAAAATTCCTTTAAATATTAAAATCAATAAGTCTAACTTTTTACCCTTCATTAAACAAGAAATTTGGAACAAATGGCATCAACAATGGAATTCACTAAAAGAAAACAAAACATCTTTTTACTTCCAAGTGGTTCCTAAAATACCCAAAACTCCGTGGTTCAATAGTAAACAATTCTATGAAAGAAGGTACCTTTCCACAATCATACGGATGAGAACTGGCCATTGTCTAACCCCATATCACTTATTTCGAATTGGTATTAAAGATGACCCATTTTGCGAGTGTGGAGAAGTTGGATCTTTAAATCACATCATCTTAGAGTGTCCCATTAATAAATCTCCCCTTTTTGATGTATATTTGGAACTAACGAAGGCTGGTTTATCAGCCCCATTTGATATTCGATACATCTTGTCTCATTTGGATGATAGAAGAATAACCACCCTTTCTAAATTTCTTTAAAATCATTATCTAGTAGAAGCAAATCAACTATATCTGGGTAAATTGTTCGCAGTAACATAGCCCAAAAAAAGAAAAGAAGAAGAAAATGGCAAACAAATAACTTTATGCATATTACTGACCAGGTAAGAAAGCGATTTAAACAATAGAATGCTATTTATATAGGTAGAATAACCTTAAAACTTTCCCATGGGATTAAAACAAATTAAATTTACTCTCTAAATTTACATTACAGTTTTATATTTACAACTTATGAAATCTAAAGTATTCTATTGTTTCTTTGTTTAATCCAAATGTATTTCGCGGCATCACTAGGTATAACAATATCTAAATCATTCGCGGTAACGTTACTAAGGTTGCCAGGTCTTAAATTTTCTTCTGTCAGGATTTAATAATTAAAAATATTATATATAATATAACCTACTTACTCACATGCTTGAGTACGTTTTTGTACCGTCTGGACGGATAACTTGATTTTGTAATCTGGTTTTGACAAGATCTAAGGGAAAAACACATAAAACGCCTATGAATCCAGCTATGCCTCCATTGAGTATTTTGGGCAATAGGCTAAAACATAAACTTTGGTTCAGGGTGTCCAACCAGAATTTTAAATAGTAATATTTGACTAATTAATTTTAATTTCGTTAGGTGTGGTAGTGTATCCCAATAAATTTTCGGATGATAGTAGGTTTTTTTACCATATACTGTCGTCAATTCAGCAGAAGAAGCAAAATTGTGAAGGTTCTGTGAAGAAGAGGAAAGATCAACCCACGTCCTGTGACAGTATTTTAAATAATATTTTAAAAAGAGCTTCAAGGAAGATAAAAATCCGAAAGGATCAAACATACGAGCAACAGCTGAAGGTATTTTTCCAAGAAAAATCTCTACTTCAAAACTAAATTTATCATATTTTTCTTTCCACTGTAATCCTAGAACTTTTAGAATTGATTTATCAAATTTTTTAACTTCTACTAACAATTTTAAAACCTCTTTGTTGAAACAAACTAACTAATTGGGAACATCCAGATATAATTTCTTGCACATTGGGAAAACTACTAACAATATCATCCATCTACATATTTAGATTCATCGTCTCATCATAGTTTTATTACTTGAAGGCGTTACGTTCGGCGACGATTCACTCCAATACTCAAAGTATTTAATTGGAATACACAAATAGAGTCAATGAAGTTGATACTCCAGAGAACTCTTTGAAATTACCTATGAGGCTTTATCATCTCATCCTGCCTATACATTTGTTTTAAGTCGGTTACCACGAGAATAATTATTGAAAAAAGACGATGGAAAAAGACTACATAGTCTTGAAACATATTATAAGTTTGTTGTTTTTTTATCAAGACGATTTTCTAAGTACAATACATTTTTCACTAATGCGAATGAATCTCCTAATAATTTAGGATAATCTTTAAATGGCAATGATACTACATGTTATTTACCATCAGGTACATTTTCTACCAATAATTTTTTCTTCTGATGAAATAGGAAAAGGGGACAAATCTTCCAATTTCTACATTCGTTCTACAAAAAAATCTAATTGAAGAAAATTACTAAAACAAAGAAGAATGCGTGTGGACTTAATTGGAAGTAGGCTGAGCTGACCTCTTGGCAACGTAACCTAAAGTAGTTTCAATGGCTGAAACTGCACTGTTGGATGAAGTTATTCTGTTAAAAATGATAATATTAGAGAAAATAGATACAAAATTTCATCTATTTTACTAGTCACTGTCAGTTAAAATCTAATTATCTAAACTAGGCATGGTTTTATCAATAGGCTAATCAGGTAAAGCATTGATCACCATAATAGCAAAACTTATATGCAAAAATAAGAGTTCCTAAACCTCCTACTCCTGAGACATTCAAATTTAATTAAATAACGGTCTAGTAAATTAGCAAAAGATAGAAAAATATCCAAATACTTAAGGAATTTCCATACTTTAAAGAGCATATAAGATAATTAAGAAGTCAAGAATGATGTAGCAAAGTTAATTGGAAATTTTTTTAGTTTCTTCTGTTAATAAGATTTAATTGCCTATAGATGATGAAACTTACCTAAACGTCTTCTGTTTTTCAGCCATGGTACAAAAATTTAGTAGTTACTGAACTAAAACTGAACGATTACTTCAAAATATGGGAATCACGATTATGTTTCTATTAGAATATGGTTGCTCATTTACCAATGTTTTGAATGATCATGTATTCAGTTTTGAAACATATTTTCATTTTATGCATTACACACAAAGAATTTTCCACTTTTACTAAACTTATGAAAAAAATTTACGCGTTTATGTTCATGACATGAAATTTGGATGGTACGTATTATTTGATTCTAAAATAATCAAAGTCAAACCTCTTAAGGTGGGAGTTTTTAATTCTGTCACCAAAAGATTGATAACCAATAGACATGTAAAGACAAAAACCCACCCTTAGACTAAGTATAAAGAGAGGACTCGTAACATCGCAGAAAATCATGTTCCATGACCCCAATGCTATTTGACCAGAGGCGTAACATGTTGGAAATGAAACAATGAACTTTTATTTACGTTATTAGTACTTTATTGATCTTTTTAGGTATAAAGTAAGTTCAAAGCGTAAAATAAATGAGGAACAATAAATAAGATACAAGAAATAGTAGTTTGTGCAACAATAGTGGATATGGACAACCCACTCGAGTTGTACAGTATGTTTTCTACGACCCACTTACATATATTAAATTATATTTTTTTAAATTGGACATATTTTCTATTAATTTTAAGTTCTACTCTTAAAAATATTCTTAATTTAATAAAGATTTCCTATTCCCATCTTTGATAAGTACCGGTTTATTTGTCATTTTTTTGAAAATATAGTGCCATTGCAATTAATTAATTACTCTTGATTACAAAATAATTAATTAACGAATTGTTGGCAGTTCCTTACAAAATGTTGTAACTTTTTATCAGAATCATTAAAATATTCAAAAAATGTACGAGGTGTTTGCAGTTTGAAGTTTTATTAGATTAAAATGTTTTATTTAATTACTGCGTTAATTTAAATGGAAAACCCTGTATTTTATGGTACCAATATGAAGGAAATTTTATTTACGTTAAAATTTCTATATCTACTATTTTTAAAACTATTATCAATGGTTTCAATTAATAAATTTTAAATGTCAACTAATAGTTTTATTTTAACAAAGTTACTAAATAAACATATTTATTCCAAAATTTGTCAGTAAATTTAAAATTTACCTACAATAAATGTCAATGATATTGTGATTCGTTTTCAAAATTATTTTTTACATTACTTAAAATATCTAAAGCAAACGCATCACGAATGCGTGTTTTCGTATCTTCGGCGGTGGTCGACTGAGTTTGATATATTAGGGAAACTAGATTCACCAGTAAATATTATTTTTGCCAATTTTAATATCACTAATTGTTTAAAAATTAATGAAAAGCATAAAATAAATAAACTTGGCGGGAAAATTTTATTTCTCTGGAGTGAGATATGTACAATATAGTATAATAACCAAATAAATAAAAAATATAAGAAAATATTTAAAGTATACATGTTCTATGTTTATTATTTACCTGTGAAACATAATATTTGGTTATTTCTTGACGCTATGACTTTTACATTGATATGCAACACAATAAACTACTGTAACAAACTAGGTATTTATCAAATGTCGTTTAATTCAAAAATCACAAATAAACACGAGTAAAAAGCTTTGGTGACGCCGAAATGCTTATCACCAAAATAATGGCGGCCAATCGATAATCGGCATAGAAATACTACGAATGCTTGGTATACTAGTTACGCGTCCTCTCTTTCCTTGTCTAAGAAACCACCTGACATGCATGTCATTTTTTTATTTTTTCTGTTTATAAATCACAACACCTCTGCACAAAACAATAAGTTTGGTATCTTTAATTTGACAGTTCCATTTTCTTATGTGTTTCGTACAAAGTTTATCCTACGAGGACTAGAGCAGGGGCTGGTAACTCAAATGGAAAAACATGAGGACGGTAATTTAGTACCACTCCAATTAACGGGATGGCGCTCGTATGGAAATGTCATGTCAGTTGTCAGCTTGTCAACAAAACTTCATACTTGGAAAAATTAAAATGGCTGTCGCATTTGAAGGTGTATTGAATTTTGATTAATCTAGATTTATTTTTCAACACCTTCCAATTTTAAGCATGTTTTCAAGAGATGGGAACATGGATTTCAGCAACGAACAATGAAGCACTCCCAGATATTGGTAGTGATGCAATTTATACCACGTATTAAATATGCGGTCGTCATATTAAGGATAAACATACAATTTGTAATAAGTGTCTTAAGAAAAATGCATCTTGTACTGGCATATCAATGGTAAGTAATATTTACAAACTTGTTTTTGATTCAGTGTTAAAATAATTGGTTTGTTATTTAAATTTCTTTTTGTTTTCAGTTTTTAAATGATCATTGTTATAAAGAAAATGTTGGCTCTTCAAAATACCCTGTAGATCGATTAAATATTTGAGCCTTAGCCATCAATATCAAAATTTAATTCAATGCCATTGACATCAAACAAGAAAACACCCCAAAATCTTCAAAGGTCCAAACGTGTGTAAGTTTAATTTAAGCTCGAAAGTTAAATTCATTTATCACAGTGCTCAAATGATGAATAAGAATTTGATAACTACAGGTGCTGTACAAATAAATCAATAAAACAATATCGGATGAAGAAATGTTCCTCAACTTAACTAGTCGACTCAATAAGCATATGGCAAATTTTATCCACCCTCAAATTTGCCTTGATTGTAAGACACCAAAAGGATGATGCTTCAGTTTTTTTCAAACTTATTGCACTCCAAGTTGCAAAACTGTTATATTGGTCTGTTGTATAAATAGACAAATTATATGATGCGGCGTTAATTTACTGTAATAAAAAAAATAAATAAAATAAATTGCATTTTATTTCAAGTTTGAAATTAATGCAAAAATATAATGAAGAAAATCAAACAAAAAAAAATAAATTGGCAAAATATTTGACTAGTTTCAAATCACAAAACAGTCAATATGGTTGTTTTATGATTTGAAACTAGTCAAATATTTTGCCAATTTATTTTTTTTGTTTGCTTTTCTTCATTATATTTTTGCGCGACTAGCAGAAAATTAAATTTCAAAAAGCCTGCGCTAAGCGGCCATATTGAATTTTAGTACCACTCCAATTTGATAGATTGCAGCACATCGACTCAGAATATTACCATTGAGTTTCCCATCTATTCACATTAGTAATCTATGGACTAGAGAGAAGAAGGTGAATCGATAATGTTTAAAATTTTAAATTTGTCCTTTTTATAAAGTTTGCCAAATTGACTGTAGTAGGCAGGTCGAACGTTAATGACGTTAAGTTTCTATGTCAGTCAAGGTGAAATAGTGTCTTTTTTTAATTGGTGAAAATAATCAAAAAAATATAAAACAAAGTACCTGACAAGTAATATGAGTGACAAAAAACATCAAAGCAAGATTTACTTCGTTCCAGATTATAAAACGGGATATAAATCAGATGTAAAACTAAATAAATCATAAGGAGAAATTAATTCAAAGTCTTTTTAAAGCTCCTAGTGCAAGTAAAGTAATTTATTTATTTATTGTAAACTAGTCAAAACACGTATTTTACAGAGTGTAGTTTATTTTATTACAAATTTCTATAATATTAAATTTATCAGTCATAAATCCTCACTTACAAACAACAATAATTACACATTACATTTAACTTATTAGAAAATAAAATTTGTTTTCATGTTTGATGAAAAGTTACTGCTATTAGTTTTTTATTAAACCCGAATTTTGACATTGGAACTACTTTTTATAGGATCCTAAAGGTTTAGGACAGTTGTTGCAGTGGCATTCCCAAGGCTAATAAAGCACTTTCTAGAGATGTTGGTGATTGCGAGCTACACTTTTTAGAAGAGGATTCCAAATATTATTTTAAGTAATGGTACTGTTAGCAAAATAAAAGTGGAAGACCAAAATTAAGGGATGAGGCAATACCATATACAGGGTGGCCACTTTTTTAATGGGATTGTATTAGTAATTGCAAAACCATACTAGTTAGAAAGTCGGTTAAATGGAGAAAAAATTGCGTATCTCAAAGCCTACTCTAGCGGTGAAAATTAATCGAAAATAGCAGGCCCGGTTCTTGAGATATTTCAATAAAAAGAAATTCAATCTTTTTGGTTTTTTGGTTATCGTTCATTTATTTTCAGAACTACTAAAAAATCTTCTAAAGGTTTTTTATTTGATAGTAAATTTTCTTTGATTTGACGTTTTCATATTTTGCATCAAACGTTTCGTATTCTCCGGACCACCCTTAACTTATTTTTTTTTTAATATGGACCTGAATATTTTATAACATTATTTGAAATATCTTTTCATCCTGCATCCAGCGGTGGCATTCAATGACGGTTTTTGGGTAATATGAACCGTAATCCCACCACTTTCTTCCTAGATCCAGCGGAAGAAATAGTACGGTCGATTGCGTTGGCTCCAGGTTTAGCAGAGCTTGCGTCCGTTGAACGTTTAGTTCGACCGCCTAGGTTACAAAACATCGCCGAACTTGTGAATTTGTGAAATTTATTATGACGGGATATAAATTTGTAGATGTTGTACATCTGAAAATAGAGATGGGACAAAATTTTAATTTTTCTTTTGGTTATGTCTGACTTTTTCGAGGATTTCAAATCTCTGTTTGCATATTTAAGAGTCTTATAAATAATTTAACGGTGTACATTTTCGCAAATTGTTAGCAAGGATGATCAAATTTTATTTTGCTCATCTCAAAAAGGTATGCGTTGGAAATTCCAGACTTTGTTGACAAACTATCAAATAGAGATATAAATATTTTTTCCAATTTGAAAATAACACCTTTTCTTCAGAGTCGTATGCTTTAAAATGCGTTAACAAGTTTGAATTGTTAAGTAAATTGCATTCTTCTGAGAAATGTACGCAAATTTCGCAAGAGTGGATATGTAATGATTTTTTGATTGAATAGCCACATACATAGTTAAATGCATTTTGGGTGGTCACATTTAGCTCCCTGTAGTTACATTCAGAAATCGTTATTGCCCCAACTGATTGTTCTGAAATATATTTAATTTTCATTAAGCGGAGAATCCCGGGATTCCTTTCCAGTGTGTGCCCCACTGCCGCTAGTGCCCACGAGCTGCCACTGTTACTCAATTAATTTTATTGATTTTTTTCATATAATTTGATTATGACTTACAAAAACTGAATTTCTTCTTGTTATTATCAGTAATTACGTTTTAAAATTTCTACATTACTATTGTTGTTGATGAATTGTTTAATTTTCGGAGAATTACATAAATTTTGTAAGAATTGACTTTATTTTTTATCTAGAGGCATGACATGATGTCGATTCAACTAAAGATGGCTGAAACCAGGAGTAAATTTAATAAAATTTGGATTACAGTCCATATTACCAAAAAACCGTCATTGAATGCCATTGTCTAATACACCGCTGGATGCAGGATGAAAAGTTATTTCAAATAATATTATAAAATATCTAGGTCCATATTTTAAAAAAATAACTTGAGGGTGGTCCGGAGAATACGAAACGTTTGATGTAAAATATGAGAACGTCAAATCAAAGAAAATTTACTATCAAATAAAAAACCTTTAAAATATGTTTTGGTAGTTCTAAAAATAAATGAACGATAACCAAAAAACCGAAAAGATCGAATTTTCTTTTCTCGAAATATCTCAAGAACCGGGCCTGCTATTTTGGATTAATTTCCACCGCTAGATTATACTTCGAAATAGGCAACTTTTTCTCCATTTAACCAACTTTCTAACTAGTATGGTTTAGAAATTAGTAATACAATCCCATTAAAAAGTGGTCACCCTGTATATTCCCGAATCTCCCTTTATACTTGTATTATAACAATAAAAAATCTTTTAACTGTTATATTTTTTTAACATCCCTAGCAACACCAGCGTTCCTGCGGTGAATTGTAAAAACTTGATTAGTGTTCGTTTTTTGGGACCTTATGTCGAGTATGCCGATTTGCCTCCTTCTCTCTGGTCTTCATAGTTAACCCTAAATACAATATTGGAATTAGTTGTTTAGAACAAGTAAAATTTACGTAATTTATTTTGTTTACGACCTAAGCAGTTTAGTTCTTTCCCCTCTATTTTTATAATATTATTTTCAAGAATATCAAATTACAAATCACCTTCACTCAAAAAGGTGTATCTATTAAACATCGATAGTTCTGATCTCTTCATAGCTACGAACGACAATTATTATAATATTGCAATGATACATAAATTTCTATTGTCAATATATTTAGTTCTTATGTACAATTTAGGTATGTTTTTCTATTCCTAACAGATATTCTGCAATCCCGAGATAATACACTACTTGAGTTATCCCAAACAAAGGAGCTATTACCATGATTCTGCAAGCTCCTCCTTTAAAAAATGCTTTCCAGCCTTCTTTATTCTTAATTTTTCTAAAACAAATTTGTATATTGATTATGGCAGAAATCAGAAACCATAAAAATTAAATTAGTCACAGTTGTTATGAGACACCTTTTGATTGGTCAAATAATTCATTGATGTGCTATAATGTGAGAATGATGCGATGTCTTCTATAGTTTTTCAAAATTTATAAAAAACTGGTTAATAATGTTCTTAATGTAATACTCACATAAAAGCATCGTATATGCCGGAATATTTTTCTTCTCCTTTCCCTTTTTTAATTGTTTGAATTCTAGTTTTAATAACATCACAAGGAGTAACGGTTAAACCAGCAACGCCACCTGCAAGTAAACCTGCTGCAAACGAACACCAAGGCTTTGCATCTCCTATAAGAATGAAATAATGAGTCATCGAGAAAATCTACAATTTAGAGTTGGTGTGAAAAATATTGTCATGCGATCAGTCCGGTCCCGCCTCTGTTTGTTCCATTTCCCCTTTCTTCTTTTCTATCTCCTTACTTAGCTAAAGATATTTTATTTTTCATACAAGATATTTCGTTTTTCATCAAATACACTTCAGAAGACACCTTTTCTTCTAAGGAATAACTATCGGGTAATTCATTTTTCACAGAAGACACTTTACTTTCCAAGTCGGAAGAAATGTTATCTTTTAAAGAAGAAACTTTCTTATCTAAGGAAGAAATATCAGAACAAACTTTAGTTTCCAAAGAATTGATTTAAGATATTATAGAAAACACATCATCAGAAAAAAAATGCGTTTCTGCGTGGATCCAAACTCGCACGTACTATTGGTTCTTTAAAACACTCTGCTTTTTTTCGTCATCTCTAGATCACGTTCTTCTGATTCTCGACGCAACTCAGCAACTTTCAAATCACACAGTTTCTAGACATTTTACTCACTATTTAGGTATTAACAGAATCCCACATCTGACACCAATGTTACGTTTATTTATTTAAAACAGTTTATTATATATTAACTAACTAATTAATCAATTAATACTTAAATCCTTATTTTCTATATCAGCACTATTTATATTTCGTACTGATGATCTAATTTATCAATTCGAATGTCTATCTTTAACTTCTGTCTATAAACTGTTCTTCCAATAATGCACCAGCCTATTTATACATAAAATGGGCCGAGCTAGACCTGTTCGAGAGCCCAGACTAGTCTAGAATCTTCGATTTCATCAAGTTTCGTCATCGTAGCAATTTATCGCATTTCTCATTAGACTCATCTATTAGTAATTACACGTAGCGAACTCAACGATCATATCGGTAGACGTACTGGCGACAACAGAGGCAAGACCGGACTGGTCGAGAATGGCTTGCATTACATTATAAAATCAGAAAATAAAAAATTTGCACAGACCGAAACGTCATCTATAGCAAAAATTTAGACAAGTGTATTTAATAACTTTTCTTATCAAATTATTCCTAAATACTGTTAAAAATTCATATTTATATCTTTACTATTTCTTTTGGTTAGAACAGTTGGTGTATTTTATATGGTTTTATGATATTTAAGTTTTGATAAAGACTATTATTTAATTGGACAACTTGAACTTGTATGACGACAATTTATTATAATGACATGTGTTTTGTTGCATATATATGATATTCTTGTTTGCAATTTGCTACAGCTAAGTGTATGATTTCCTACAGCTTCACGGGGCATAGGTAATGAATGGAACATTCACAGTGGGACCTAATCTACACTAAACTCACCAATATATTTTTCTGTTTTAATTCTTGGATTACGAAAAGTATTTCAATGGAAATAAGATTTTGTTAGCTTCTATAATGCGCTTTTACATAATTATGTTTATTAAGTAAACTAACATTAGGTTTTGATGTACTATTAGCACTACAGTTAGTCAGGCTTTTATAAAACACCCTGTATTTTCGGCTGCAATTATTGTATTAAAGGTTCATACATTCAATTGTTAATATTTTTTTAAATATTTACATTAATGCTGAATGAAAAATTAGTAATATCTGCAAAATTCTAATCAAATTATTTATATAATCAAGTTTGGTTTATTTTCTACTTTTGATTACATCAGATCTGATGCTGTTTATTATAATACAAAATATATACTTACCATCAGCTTGTAACGGACAAAGTTCTCTTACATTAAAAAAAATCGTGAAATATGTCATTGAAAAGGGAATATCTCGTAGTATTGTTGGACCAAGTCCTCTATAAAGCCCGAATATTCCATCGTTTTTCACTATCTGCTTAATAACTTGAGTTGTAGTAGCTTTACCTGCGTTTAAATATACATTTGTTAAAACTAGATAATATTATAACTAAATATGTGATTGTATTTTTGTGTATAATTTTTTAAATTGGTAAGTAATTATAACATTAGAGTAATTGTAAAATTAGAGCCATTTTGTATCATTAGGCATTTTTATCTTAGTATAGTATCTTAGTATAGTATCTTAGAATAGTATCTTAGTACAGTATCTTAGTATAGTATCTTAGTACAGTATCTTAGTATAGTATCTTAGTCTAGTATCTTAGTAGAGTAGCTTAATATAGTATCTTAGTCTAGTATCTTAGTATAGTATCTTAGTATAGTATCTTAGTATAGTATCTTAGTATAGTATCTTAGTAAAGTATCTTAGTATAGTATCTTAGTATAGTATCTTAGTATAGTATCTTAGTATAGTATCTTAGTATAGTATCTTAGTATAGTATCTTAGTATAGTATCTTAGTATAGTATCTTAGTATAGTATCTTAGTATAGTATCTTAGTATAGTATCTTAGTATAGTATCTTAGTATAGTATCTTAGTATAGTATCTTAGTATAGTATCTTGGTATAGTATAGTATCTTAGTATAGTATAGTATCTTAGTCTAGTATCTTAGTATAGTACCTTAGTATAGTATCGTAGTACAATATCGTAGTACAATATCTTAGTATAGTATTGATACCACATACTTTGATTACTATACGGTGCAAGAGAGAAGTCCGACACGCCCAACATAGGGCGCGGCCATTTTGATGCCTTTACTACAGTTTATAGCTAAATAATCAGTTCGCTCACTCTGCGTCGGCCCTTTTAATCTCAATGTTCCAATTTATACACTGCGCAACTCGGATACTACAATATATGACAACAGCCAATAATAAAACATCTTCTGCGCATCCTGAATTTGTAGCCCTGGAGTGGATGTTATTTTAGAACTTTCAACTGATCCGAGTGAGCTAACTGATTCTTAAACTGTGACTCCAAAAATAATATTCACTGACAGCAACAAGCAAAATATCAGGTGCGTTTTAATCATACGCTTCTGCTTCCGGAATTGTCGGTTTAGTCGTTTTAACCTGTCAGATTAAAACAAAAAAACCGACAATTCCTAAGAAGAAGCGGATGATTAAAACGCACCTATTAAAAATATTGCGCGAAGATGTAGGCAACACGTAATAAGGCATCAAAATGGCGGAGTTTTCTCCTTTTAAAAGGCACTCAGAAAGCTGTGCAGTGCGACCATTTTCGGTATAGTAAGAGAAAATCAAAGTATGTGATTGATACATTATTTGACATAATAGAGCGTAGAGTATTTTTTACTTTCTCCATATTTATATCACTTTGTTCATATACAGGTTATTTTATTGTGGCTAATAAGAATATCTACCCAAGAATATTACTGACATCAGTAAAGTCTGGACATGTCCCGAATTTTAGCGTTTCTGTCCGGAATGCGCTGGGAATTATAAATTGTCCGCAATTTTCTGGAAAATCATCAAGATATATTTAAAATCCCGTATAAAGAGATCTTTAAAATTATCGTCGGCATAACTTTAGAATCGTGTAATAAATACAATATATATATATATATATATATAATAATTTTTAGATTTATTTAAAAGATGTTGAATTATGTTGTAATATGAAATAAAATTAACGTGATTTTTTTATATTGAACAGATGTAACATTTTATGTAAAAAGAAGACAAAACTTCTTATATACAATATTTCGTTAGCGTTTATTTACTACGGAATTTTCTGCAAGAGACTACAATATAATATTGAAATAGAATATTGTTAATCGAGCAAGGAATTATACTCATTGTCTACGAGTACTATAATAGCAGTATGTGTGTAAGCGAACACTTCAAATCAAACCTTGTAAGTTGAAAATTATATTTTTTCTACGGCTATTACATAATATTAAAAATTAATCAAAATGAGAAAATCCTGTTTTTTATTGTAACCTCAGAAAAGGGTATATTAAAGTTTCTTCCTTAAACAATATTAATTAGTATTGGGGATTTGTCGCATAAAACTCTGAAGTGCATATTTCTGAAACCATATAGCATTTTAAATTTTAAACCTATAAATGTCATTTTGTCGCTAGGAGTGGCGATTATCGAAAAAAATTATTGATCATTGAAAATAATCGATTATTTTCGATTGATCGATAATTTTTTTCGTATTTCCTTTAAAATAGATTATTTGATTATCGGAAATAATCTACTACCTAATCGAAAATAATCAATTAATTAAAAAACCGATTAACCGATAAATCTGTATTTCCAAAAAATAATAAACGAATTATCGAATATTTTAAATAAGCAATTATTTTTAAATAATCTATTTTTTCGTATTTTTTTCTGAAATCGATTATTTGATAAAAATCGAAAATAATCGATTAATTAAAAAACTGATTAACCGATACATTGATTTTTCCAAAAAAAATTATCGATTATTTTAAACAATTGATTTTTTCGATTAATTGATTATTTTTAAATAATCAATTTTTTTCGTATTTCCTTTAAAATTGATTAGTCAATTATCTTTGAAATATCGAAAATAATCGATTAATTAAAAAAACCGAATAAAAGATAAACCGATTAAAAAAAATAACCAAATTATCAATTATTTAAAGTAATCTATTATTTTTGATTATTTTGAATCCATCGATTATTTTCAGTTAATTTATTTTCGTTTTGTAATTCCATTAAAATCGATTATTCCATTATCTTAATAATAATTTATTGAAAATATTTGATTAATCGAAAATAATCGATTAACTATAACCGATAAATCGATTTTCATAAAAAAATAACCGAATAATCGATTATTTTTGCAACTTCTATCGGTCGATTGCTTTTATCTGAGCATTTATCTCCCAAATTTAGAGATTCAGATTTTTTGATCCCGTTATCTTTAGAACCCGCATTCGATTGTATTAAATAATAAATATTGCAAGAATTTTGATTTTTCAGTAAACAAATTTTTTTCGAGTTTAGGGTTTTATAATGTAACATTTTATTAACAATAATGTGACTAACTCCCTTAACTTTAGTATTTCTTTTTGCTTATACTAGATCATTTGAACGTTCTATTTTATTTTAAGACTCAAGATTTAAATGTCACTTCGATTTGACCGCAAATAAGATGAACTTTGAAATTTTAAGTAGGCCATCCTGTATTTTATCTATTCTTATAAAACTACTCTTTGCGCTTTTGTAATAAGTACAATGAAATCTGCTTTCTAAAATATTTGACGCTTAATATTTATAGAAATCCCTCAATCCGGATCTGAAGTATTCAGCCTAAAAGATCATGGCGACTTCATGTCAAAACGTTAATAAATATTTATCTCTAAAAATGAATATATTTCTTATATTTCATAACATTGGCACTTATATTAAAAGTATATACAATTTTTTTACGATACATCGTGGCATTTTCAACTTGAAATTGAATAACTAAAACACTTTAAATTGCTAATAACACCAACAAATAATTCAAAAAACAGCGGTCTATGATGATTCATCTCACGCGATGATGAGCGTTGAATAGAATTCGGGTGGCGTCGTGGAAACAATTATTTTTAATTGGTGGGTTACTTAAAGTTGGAATAGACAAAATGCGCTGTATGAAGTTATATCTCTGGTCTCTTTAATCTAAGGTATTCCATTAAGTTTTATTATTGAGATAGAATAGAGGATGATACGACGATGCTAAAGTGTCCGCACCTTTGCATTACACTTTACGTCATAATGTGAAACTCGAGATAGTGGAACTAGTCGATTTTGGTGAAAATAAATGCCATTTTTGTTAAATAGCTCCATTTAAATTATATAAAATCATTTTCATTCCGTCAGTTTTCAAATATAAAATTATTAACTTCAAAGAAATCAAAGTACCACTCAAATCGCCACTTTCATTACACTTTTCCGTCATTCGAAATGCGTCCATCTGTCATATCGCAAAATAGTGTTTATATCGTCTCTACTTTATTCTATCTCTACGAGTTTAATTTTTAATTTTACGAATTTTTAATTAAAGAACTATTTTTATTTTTAGTTTTTGACTGTACGTACTTTTTTTAATAAAATGTTTAGCAATTATTTTAGAAGTGCGAATTTAATAATTATTTTGTACGAATTTTTAAAGAAATTGTACTTTTAAATATAGTAACCCTATACAAGAAGCGAATGTCAATGAGTTTTCAAATATACCAAAATTGAAGTGACATTGTCGTAAATGCTCTACTAAACTTATGACAATCGATCAATTTGTGTAGTTTGGTTCAAAAGAATTAAACGTACGTACTAAAGTTACAATGAGAAAATGTTAAGTACGTTTATTAGGATAAATGGGTAATTTTTTAAAAACGAAATAAGTAATGTAGCTGTAAATACGTTTCGATTATTTCCCGATAGAAGGTACATGGCTCCTCGGAGTATGTCATATTTTTTATGCACGACAGGGCGATAAAGTCCAGATTATAAATACGTTTAGCGGGCGCAAAGTGCTCCTTTATCGCCCACGGACTACTTTACTGCCCGCCGGGCGATAAAGTAATGGTATATTATTTAACGAGCGGGTAATGATGGTTATTACTCACGAGGATGAAGTTTGTACTAGAAGCCGCAGGCGAATAGTTTAATCATCCGACTGAGTAATAGCCATTACCCGCGAGTAAAATACTATACTTTTTCTATGATTTTTAAATAATAGAAAAGAGTTATGCAATATTTTATTTCATTTATTTGTTACAAAATTAATTGTGAAATTAGAACAGTTTTGAATTCAAATCTACAGTAGTAGTTATATTTCTACGTGTCAACTGGTTTTCCGTGTAGGTTCTAGTTGTGGTCGAATTTTGTTGAAAATAATTAATTAATTACGTGTTAATAGCCCTCGCCTAGCGGCTCGGGCCCTTACTTACACGCCTGTTTTACGCCCTTGATACATAAATATCTATAGTTTTGTATTATTGTTTATATACAGGGTGATTTTTTGAAAAGGATCCACCCTCGATAACTTCGTTCTTGATTCAGGTAAAATCCAAAAACAGGTCAATTTTTATCCTTAGGGGGACACATTTTTAGATCACAACTGGTTTTGTCGGATCAACCCCATGGCCCCACCAGCCCCTACCTCAAAAACCTTCAATAGCAAGGGGGGCCGAGTGAGCCCTCGTTCGAAAGGTTTTTGCATTTACCATACGACCATGTAAGAATTATTTCGTTTTGTACAGGGTGGTTCAAGAAAAAAGACAAATTGCAATAAATAGACTTAAATTACATACATCATAATAGATTCTTAAAATGACCACCATTGAGAATAATAGGAATCCTTCCTCATTCAACAATTTATCTCCTGTCGTAAATTCACTTAAATTTTTTGCTTCAGTTTTTGAAGACGATGAGTGATATCGTGCTATCGCTCTTTTTGTATGCATTTTTATCTGAAGTTTTTTGCGCATCTTTACAAGCCGTTTTGACGGATTAGATTTAATCCAAGTAGTTTGCAGTCAGTTGGTATGTCAATTGATTTATTCCCTGTAAAATGGTTTACACTATTGCCGAGCGGGTAGAAGTTATTTTCATTTATGGTGAGAGGCAGAATTGGCGCCACTGCCAGAGTTTTTAATGCAAGACATCCAGATAAGCGAATGGAGCACAAATATGTCACGCAACTTGTGCGGAAGTTTCAAGCAACAGGATCGGTGAAAAATATGAAGAGAGAAGGTAACAGAATAGTTAATGAAATGGCTCAGATTGAAGTGGTGGGGAACTTTACTTTCGACCCAACCAGTTCTTTGCGCCAGATTGCTACGACCACTGGACTTTCGTATTCATCGGTACGCAAAGTGACAAAACTTTTTAAATTCCGTCCCTATAAAATGAAGATACTTCAGGAGCTTGTGGACGATGATCCTGATAGTTTTGCAAAATTATGACGGAAATGATAAACGCAAACCCAAACCTCATAAAAATATTTGCTTTAGTGACGAATGTAGTTTTTATCTGTATGGGCAGTCAATAAACAGAATGTCCGATATTGAAGTGTTGAGAATCCTCACATTTTTAGAGAGGGCTCCTCAGAAATTAAATGTATGGGCAGGAATAACTAGGCGATGCGGTAGTCGGTCCGATTTTCATTAATGAGACTTTGACTGGCGAGGTATATTTAGAGCTGCTGGAGGGTGTATCATAGATCCCTTGATACCGGTTGAAGTTGAAAATCAGCGGGATCAAGATGGAAATCTTGTACTTGAAGAAAATGAGTTTTTTTTTCAGCAAGATGGAGCCCCACCTCACTTCGCTGTGAATGTTCGGAACTGGCTGAATCAGAGATTTCCGCATCATTGGATTGGCAGACGGGGAGCAATAGAATGGCTTCCGCGGTCACCAGATTTGACAGGATCAGAATTTTCCTCTGGGGGCACCTAAAATCTGTTGTCTTCAAAACTCAACCAGCAGATTTAGTGGAGTTCCGACAACGAATAACTGACGCATGCAGAAGAATCCCTAGAGAAACCTATCAACGGGTGAGAGAGGAATTTGAAAACCGCCTTTACTACTGCATGGAGAATAACGGTGGTCATTTTGAGCACTTGTTCTAATTTTGCTTCCTTTCACTCTAATCCGTTTCTTCTCGTTTTGTAAACAATTAATACGATTTTTATTCCAAAAATTAACCAATTAAAGCGAAATGTAAATCTATTTATTGCAATTTGTCTTTTTTCTTGAACCACCCTGTACAAAACAAAATAATTCTTACATAGTCGTATGGTAAATGCAAAAACTTTTCCAACGAGGGGTCACTCGGCCCCCCTTGATATTGAAGGTTTTTGAGGTGGGGGCTGGTGGGGTCATGGGGTTAATCCGACAAAATCAGTTGTGATCTTAAAATCTGTCCTCTTAAGGATAAATATTGACCTGTTTTTATATTTTACCTGAATCAAGACGAGAACGAAGTTATCGAGGGTGGATCCTTTTCAAAAAATCACCCTGTATTTACTCTTTTAATCCTTACTATTAAATTGTTCATATGTATTATGGCGGTTTTCCACTAAATGGACAAAACAAAAACAAAACCCAAACACGTGTCGCGAAAAGCAAAACTGCAACTTTTCTCAAACTTTGGCGTGTTTTGCGACAGTTGAAGTTTTGTTTCTCGAGTCCCGCTCGGAGCGGTAACATCAAAAGGTTTTGACGTGTTTTAAAACTTGACTCTGTTTACTGGAAATGATTGTGTAGTCTAAATTTTGTTACAAATTGGTACCTATAAGTAAATAACGTATTTTTTTTATAGATAAGTAATTAGTAATTTATTTTGTAACGCTGGATAAATTTATATAAGTATATTTATATGTAGAATATATATGCGTGTCAGAGACAGACTAGGTTAAGTTCAAATATTGTCCATTTTAGGTTTTTATGATGTCACATACTTCTCTTAAAAAAATGTGTCCTGACTTTCTCTCATTTTGGGTTTGTCTCAGTTTTTCAAGTTCCAGAAAACTCAAACAAAACAAACTCAACTGTCCGTTTAATGGAAAACCGTCTTTATTATTTATTGTAAAAAATCGATCAAAAACCGAATGTTTTAAAAAACACAAAAGAAAAATATGTATTTTTAGTAAAAGATCATAAAATAAAACGTTGTTTGCTACATAGACGAAAATTATGATTATGATTTTGAAATTAAAAAATAAAACATTTGCAATTTATAAGCCTGATGACCACTCACGAAAACAAAATAACGAACACGACGGGAACACAAGATATATTCTCAACCCAAAAAACTATTTTTTATCTAAAACCGTTAATAAAACAATGTATTACTATAACGATTTAGGAAATTAAACAACGTACTGGCTAGCCGACCGGCCGGCGGTGGTTGAATTTAATAAAACGAAAACCGTCTTCCGGCGGCATGGTCTTCTTCATACACAGGAAAGCCGCCGAAAATCTAAACTGATTTGTTGATGAGGGCGGTAGGCTATCAGAGTATTGATAAGGCCGCCGGACGACGGTCTACTGTATTTGAAACATTAAATGCCGCCGTGTATCGGGGACAACATTAATCATTTGTAATTGCTGTGGTGGGAGGTGTTTGTGTGAATGCGTCTTGTTTGTTTTCATTTACGCCGTGACTAGCAGTAGTAATTTATAAACCTTAGAAGCAAATTTCACATATATGAATAAATAATAATAATGCCGTGACAACAAGAAAACGAAGTAACGACTTCTCGTTGGGTGGCGGCTTTGCTGCCACCATAAAATTTCAATCTATACCTGGCTACGCCGACCGGCATAAACACCAAAGGCCTGGACACAGCTCATCTACTCTGTCAGAAGGAAATCGATTTTTTCTTACCACCGGCATTCAATGTTTTAGATACAGTAGACCGTCGTCCGGCGGCGTTTTTCATTTCACTAATAGCATGCCGCCCTGATCAACAAATCCGTTTAGATTTTCGGCGGCTTTCCTGTCTATGAAGAAGACCATGTCGCCGGAAGATGGTTTTCTTTTTAACAAATGCAAGCACCGCCGGCGGTCGGTTAGCCAGTATGATTAAACAAACACTTTATCTCTCTGTAATAATCAAACATTTTATCCGCCGCTAATAATTATCAACATAGCCATGACAGAAATAGTCTGTAACTAATTTGTTTTGTATTTGCTGTTATTTTTCTGTTTGTTTACTTTGTCATAATGAAATGTAATAGTATATCTTCTTTTTTATTAATTATAATTATTTACGGTTGGCGATAAACGGTTTGTACGGACTACGTCAGCAAAGTGTCTTCATAGAACTCGCCTGTTACTCCCTCGCTCGATTCTCTTGCTCGGCTCATAATCTCAGATTAGTTTAATAAAGAATCACTTTACTGACTTGGTACATATTTAATAACTATTACATTACATAAATAGGATATTCCCAAAATAAAATTCGGTGAGAGCTGAGAGTTTAAATTTTATGGGATTTCTATGTGTCGGATTAGTTGTAAACTGTTTTACATATATTTTGAATAAATACTAACGTATTTTGAAATTCATTTGAAATAAAGGTAAATAAATATATTATATTACATATACTACATATATATTTTATAGTATATGTGAGAGAAATAAACAGTCCCTAAAATTCAGTAAATGAGATTAAAACTCTAAAATTGGTGAATTGGCAACGGTTACGATAATAAACAGACTCACTGTCTAAACTAAAGCGTGGAGCGAAGGCGGCGATTTTCGTAGCCATCTTTCGTGTAAAAATTCCGTATCTGCAGAGTAGACGACTGTTAGCCCTTCCTTGTTTTCAGCCAGCTAGCAACGAATATGTTACGTGTAATGGAAAATAGATTAAACGTCAGGGATAGCCGCCAGATTATGATTGGAACAAACGAAACTCAAGGAACCCTATGAAAGTTATAAATAGACGTGCAATATATATAGTTTTATTAAAAATAGTATAGATAGATAACATATTTTATATTTATATAAATTGGTTTCTCCTTGTACTGAAGGGCCTATAGCACAACCACGAAAAATGCACTGTGTTTTATTTTATGACAATAAAGATGCTAAAACTATTTAATTACTACTTAAATACTAATTGCTTAAATATTCTGAAAAACCTAATAATAATAATATAGCAAAAGCGATTCTACATAAAATGACAGCTCTGTTTGACGTTAAAAGATAAAACGCCACTAAAATACTAAGAAAACTTGGCATTTTTTTGTCCACGAATAGCCCATTCAGATTTGCTTCTTGGGTAGGTATTCTTTGGCTGTGGTTTAAATTTTTTGAATAACTCTTACCGGAAGCTAATCTTCCTTGATCCTGCATTTGAATTTTTATAAGTTCCATTGGTGTACAAATAATTACAGAAATAGAAGAACCACATGCAGCAATCAACTGTCTAGATATTGGCAATGAACTAAAAAATATTTATAATCATTATTATATACCATGCTTTCTAGCGTAAGTATTTACAGGCATTATCTTATATATCATGAATGTAAAATATATTTACCCATCTGCTTTCTTTAAATGAAACCGAAACATATCATTTGATGCTAATTTTGTAGCTTTTTCGGGCATTATCAGTATCATTTTTATTAATGAACCTTGATACATTCCAAAAAATCCTTCTCCCCTGAACGTTTTTACAAGTGCGTCCAATCTACAAAAAATAAACATTTAGACAGTTTGTGAAAACGTAACTAAATTTAAAGCCAGGTTCAGACGTAGCTGACTGATTTAGTTGAATGAGTCTACCGTTCATAATGTCCTGAGGTAGTTGCTATAACTTATCTTCATCAAACCGTAATATACCTATCTGTAATACGAACCACATGAATACATTTTATCTTACAAAAACAAAATGCTTACTTGATACCTATAGGTACCTAGGTAGATTATAACCCATTTTTTAAATATGAGTCCTACTCTACTTTCTACCCACAACTAATTAGGTAGGTACCTAGGTACAGAGGTATGTAGGTACTTTTGAATTTTTCTAATTTCAAATTTTTCGCCTTATACATGTTTAGGTTGACGAAAAACGATGTTAATCTACCAAGCGTAGACACATCCTTAAAAAGGTAGATATCTAAGCTAAGTAATTAAAAATTGTTGCCCAAATGGATCTATTGGCATATTTAAAAATTAAAGTTATTCCCGAATGCAACAAAAATCTGTGAAGAACTATTTAATAGGATCTATTAAGGATTTTATTTTCCTTTTAGATACCTATAGGTAGATGGGTTTTGCTGCAAGTAATTTGTTTTCAACTTTTTAATTTGAATACTTTGAAAAAAATATAGATTTCAAAAATCGACATCTAAAATGTAGGAATTTTATAAGTTTTACAAGAAAAAATAACCAAAAGGACAACGGCACGCGGTGTTCCCAAGCGATCACCCACCCAAGTACTAACCGCGCCCAACACTGCTTAACTGCGGTGATCGGACGAGAACCAAATCCAAATCCAAAACAAGTTCATTCAAACAATTTTTACATTAAATATATATATGTAGAAAACAATCGTTGTATTTCCTATTTTGTACGGTCTTCACAGTCTATAGTGTAGCACACGTCTTCTCTCCATGTACCGAGGTGGATGGTAGCCCTTCAGTAATACAACAATGTCTTCCACTTCAAATAAACAAGTAATGGTGCACTCCGCTGGCATGCCCTCCAGAAGAGGAGAACCTGTCAGCAGCCTACACTTTTATAGACTGACAGCTCCTTGATGATTATGTCATCATTATCTGTCAAATTTGAGGAGAGAAACAACGTACGACAATTGACCCGCGCCTTATCAATTTTTGAATATTCTCAAGTTTATTATGAATTCCCTGAAAAAACCAATCCAAAAAAACAGAGTTTAAAACAAAATAATCAGATCATTGATATCACCGGTGTGTTTAGTTTGGTACGGTCGTTGCCTGTTAAATAAGTGTGTAAATTAGTAAAGTATATGTTTGGAAGAAATGCAAAAGCATAAATGTCGTAAGCTCTAGAAAAGAATTAAGAATGGCCCGCTGAAGCCTCGCTAGAGGTGTAGTTGCTCAAACCCAGTGGCGATTGATAAGTTCATTTTATTTTATACCTAATTCAATTTAATGTCAAGATCAAAGAAAAACGACACTTATATGGCTCCGATGTGCCAACCTCGACTCAAATGAATGCATTTGGTGTAACGGAACCCGCAGTTCCTATAAGTAAATCTGATGATTAGTCTTAGTTCACTATCGTTCAACAAGCATAGGTAATTATGTTTAGACTGGAACAAAAAAGAAAAACATAAGAAGAATAAGTACCATCCCATACAGCACAAACATATTTCGGAAATATTTCAACAATGTTACATTGAAACATTTGCAATGTTGCATAAATATTACGAAACATCCCAGAAACATTTCTGAAATATGCCTGCAACGTAAAAATGTCCTCTAAATATAATATTTCACAGTAATATTTCTGAAATGTATTCTAGTTTTTTTTTCTAATATATTATTAGACTAAAAAAAGACATTTAAAAATATACATGTTTATTTAAAATACACAAAACTCAAACATTGATTCTTAAACAAATAAATATGTTTTAAAGAATATTTCATAAAATATAGAAGCGAATTGCTTCATTTTCACTAATTCCTTCAAATTCACTAATTTGAAACAACTAGTTTTTTTTTTAATAAATGCTCCAAGTAGAGAAACATTTACGATTATTATAATCTAATCATTAAGATCAATTAGCAATTTTATTTTTACCTAACTTATCTAGGGATAAAAAACTTCATAAACTCAGATTCTACTTACTATATAGTGTACTTTAGAGTCTAATTATTTAGTTACACTACCGTTAACTTATAACACTTAACTGCACTATACTGTTTTAATCTAACATCACTGAACTAGCTCAAAAGGCCTGATTCTCTTGTCTTCTTATTAGATTGGCATTGTTGAGAAGCTGGATAATCTCAAGGTTTCCATGTTGGAGCAGTCGTTAGTGACTACTGGCAAATTTTTGTATTGTATTTTCAACAGTCTCCACTTAAAGGTTCCTATGAAGATCAGTATTACGGCAGTACCAGGATGCATCGACGAGGTTCCTTAATACTTTATCCTGGAAACGTTGAATAACTTGGATGTTATTTTTACTGGCACATCCCCAAAGCTGGCAAATTGCTTCATTTCAACCAATTCCTTTAAATACACTAATCTGAAATAAAATATAGGTAATTAAAAAGGATTTATACAAATTATTTGTTTAACAGTAGTTTTATTAATATTGTTTTAAATTAACTATAACATAACAATACTCATGTCTAAACAGAACATGAAGATCCACCTAAGCAAGCATTATTTATGTAGTTCCCATCTGAATTTCTAAAGACATATTCTACTTCCCATATAACAAGTTCACAACGCATGAATATCAAAAACCAACAACTCAAATCTATAATTATTTAGAATATAGGCTTGTTTCTAGCTGGTGGCTGGACAGGGACATGAGATGATGAAATAAAATAACTACGAATCCCATCTTCTTCTTACAAATCAGAAATTCTTTATTAATTGTTGGCCTTTTACAACATAACCCGTTTAGTAACCTTTTGTATAACATGTATACCATCTTTCAGAAACATTTGCAGTGAAATATTTATCTAAAATGTTTCAGAAATATTACAGAAACTTGTGCTTGAAATGTTATATGTTTGAAATATTTCAGAAACATTTCTGAAATAATGTGTGCTGTATGGGATGGTTCCAGAGATAGGCTCTGATGAGTGAACATAAAGTTAGGAGATGACTCTCAAAAGCTTGATTGAACGACTTGGATTCGGATCATCTTTGAAGTGATATGAAGTTTCTATTAGGTTGACTTGAGTGTTGTTGATATAAGTTGTAAATATATCTTTCGAGAGTGATTTCAACATCTTCATAAAAATCTAGTAAGGTGTTAATATTGATTATTAGTTTGGAATATTTAGTTGGACTTAAGTAATTTTGATTAAAACTAAGATGATGTCCAAACGCAGATACGTCCGGCCTTTTGATGTGTTCATTTTACCGGACTCACAAAGATCTGCAAGTTTTGCCTTTGTAGCTGGCATTACAATTACTGTATTGCAACTCGTGAACCTTATTTATTAATTGATTTAAACAAAATTTTAATTTTACCAACATTATTAATAAAAGGTCAAATAATAAATTATTCGACTCCTCGACTAAACTACTGGCTGCGTCTGAATCGGGCTTAATTACGGTACACGGATCAAACAGAGTTTTTATGAAATAATAACATACTTACTCACATGCTTGAATACATTCTTTCTCCTCTTGGACCGATAACTTGATTCTGGATTCTTGTTTTTACAAGATCTAATGGGAAAACACAACATATCCCTATGAGTGCAGCAATATTTCCATTGATTATTTTAGGTAAAAGGCTGCAATATTAACGCCTATTAATTAACGCCTATTAAATCGATACCAGGCAGTTAGTTATAAAAATTCTATCTTTGGCTTTAAAGACGGCGTTCCACAAGGTTCAATTGTGGAACCGTAAATATTTATACATTTACGTAAATGATATACGCAATTAAATGTTATCAACTAGTACTGTATTATTTACTGAATATACCACTTTTATTTATTTAAAAAAAAAAAAACATGCAAATTCTACAAATTACAGCTAAGAATATCAAAGAACGTGCAAATACATAGTTTTTAGCTAACCCTTTAAAATTAAATACAGACAAATCAAAAAGTTTATGTTTTTCCTCAATTAAAAAACAAGCTATCTAGTACTATATTTTTTGTTACAACTAAAAAATATAACTAGTTCCAGTACTTTGCTGACAACATATTTTTGTCTTCTTCATTCTTTTCTAAATTACGGTGTTATTCTCTGGAGAAAATTCATTTAAAAAACATTCTTATTTATTAATTTTTAAAAATTTTTGTCATTGTTTTATTAAAGAAGATATATTCTGTTTGGATTATCATTATTTTTGAAAGAGGTAAAGACTTTTATGAAAAATAACATTTTTTCGAGGAAGTGAAAATAAAAAGTTTTTCCTCTCCTTTTTCAATCCATCCCCGGACATCCTGTATGTAGAGAGATACAATATTTCTGCATGAAGTACTTACGTAAATGTTTTTTGTTTTTCAGCCATTACACAAGAATTTAGAAAATGCCTAAAACCACAATAAAAGACAATAATAATAAAAAATAAAAAAAAAAGATTTTTTACTTACCAAATGAACTGCATTATTTAAATTAATCACATAGCATGAAATACAAAAATGATTTCTATTTAGTTAGT